GTGTTGCATTGGTCCTTCAGATAATTGTTTTAAATTTTTTATTTATTCCTTCGAACTGAGCATTTTAAAATATTATTAATATCAATTTTCCCAGAATTTGATTTTATTATTTGAACTGCGTTTCTTTCGGAAGAATACTTTGAACCCAGACTACGTGAGTTTTGAAAACTGCATACTATTAAAAGAGAAATACAGTAAAAGCACAGTTGTTTACACGCCTTTCAATGTTTCCGTCAAAAAAGATATATATAAATAAGAGATGTATAACCACATTTATTTTAGGATGACTTGCTACATGCTTTAACAGTTTTCATTGGCCCCATTGCTTACACAATTTTTATCCTACATTTGTTCTTTAAAGTCATCATATTTTAGTCAAAATTTATTTTTCAAATCGCAAGAATCAAATTTCATAACATGAAAAGTTTTAAAAAAAAAAATACAAATACTAAATTTTACGAAATTTTTATTTTTTTTTTCTTTTTTTTCTTTAAGCATTCTGAAAGTAATTAAAAGTATCCAATTTTCGAACATTTTGGTATTTTTGACAATTATTTTAATAAAGTTATCGCCTTTCCATTCAATAAAGGCCCAAAACGGCCGAGCGGTAAAGACACTGATCACTGGTAGTTTCGTCCGAGGTTCGAATCCCGCGAACGGGCTGGTTGCATGGGTGGTTTTCCCGATGTGTAACAGTATACGAGCCAGTTTTTCCCTAGAAGTCCTCCACGAAAGGCATCCCTCCCTTTAGGCAGATAGCCCTCGTGTGCTTTTGCCATAATTAAAATAATCCAATCCATTCCTTAATTAAATAAATTGATTTGTAACTTTCTACTAGAACTGACGTTAGATTGAAGTGCAAATAAAATCTCTTGTTGCAAACTTGATTTAATATAAAATTAAAATATTTGCACAGAAACATATTTGCATCAGACAGAAAGTTTTTTGAAATATTTGCAATTACTTTATAAGAAGGATATATTAATAACCGTAATAATTACTTATTATATTACTGGTGATTAGGAATCAGTTCTTGAACAATTACATTCTAAATTAGAATTTTAAGAATTATTAGAATTTTAAATTAGAATAATAAAATACGCTACGCACAAAAAATACATTTTAGGATAAAAAATGAGTTGATTTTTTATGTTTTAAAAAACTTCTTGAATTCATTTAATAAACATCGTATCCTCGTTGTTAATTGAATTCAGAATGTTGGGTGTCGTTTATATAATTATTCTTACTTGTCCACGGAATCTGCTGACTTATCCTGCCATTAAGTAGCTGCAGATCATTTCTGCATAGCCATTGAACTTCCATTAATTCTCTAGAGGGTTGCATGTTTATATCATAATTTGACTTTTATAAAAATGATTATTCTAAATCTTATGTTTTTATAAAAATATACTGTGCTTTAAAAATATGGATGCTAGTATCAGCCGCTCTTTCAGCCACTTCAAAAGCAACAGTTTGTTTAGAAATAAGTTATGCAGTTAATGTCATAAAATTCAAATAAACATCAAACGAAAGTTCTCAGTTTTAGACAATTTTTGATTTAAACGAAGTGAGGTAGCAGACGATAAAACGCCGAAGGTAAAAAATTTACTCTTACAAAAATTTACTTTATTTTTTTTTAAAAAGATAGAAAGAAATTAAAAAAATAGTTAAAAATTTGAATATTATCATCTATAATTTAAAAAAATAGCTTTTCATATATTATTAATAAATATTTTATTACGCATCATTGAGGGAAAAAATGTTATATAATTAATCTCCGTAAAATTTTACTTGAAATTTAAGGTTAAAAAAAGCTGTGGCAATTCACTGTAACAAAAATACATAGACCACATTTGGCATTATTATCGCTCAAAAAAAAAGATGCCAAATTCAAAACGCGAAAAATAGTAAATTCGTGTATATCTTAGAAAATTCTGAATAAAAAAGTCTAATTTTTTGTAGATATGCTTAAAAATACACCTACTTTAAGATGATGATAAAATTTTATAGGTTAAAATTCAAAATTTTTTTTCGAAAAATTTATAAAAAATTATTTAAAATAGAAATTTAAAAAATAAAACACAAAAAATGGGTAAATTTTTATTTGGAATGAACCTAAATTTCGAAATGTGAGAGAAAAAATCAAAAAAAGTTTAATAAAAAAGAGATATTAATAAATATTTGCCAAATTCAATTAACATGAGGAGCTAAAATTTGAGAGAGAGCTTATATTTTAAAAACTACTCATACGATTTTTACAAAACTTGGTATTCTGGTATAATTTGAGTCGTAGAATCGAAATATGGAAAAAAATTGGTATGTTATTTCAGAAAAAGTCCGATTTTGTGTCAAAATACCTATGTTAGAGTAGTGCTGTATATATATCTAATATATATCCTAAGTCGCGCATTCGAGACATGAAAAATGCAGTTTGAATTTTGTCAATCGGCCCAGTAGAACGGGAGATATAGCACTGTCCCATTTTTTTTTTTTGAGCAGTGTACATTTGCTTACTTTATTAAACATTTCTTTTAATGCAAGTTGTTCAAGTTGCTTTTTTTGTGCTAATCTTTTCTCTTTGATTCTGCAGACAGAAATAATTTCTTATTTGGTTATAAAGCTCCATTATTCAAGTCCTGTAATTGCTGTGTCAAGAATTTCGACTAAATTGTAAGTGGAAAATTTTTTCGTTTTCAATAACCTCTGTTACTTTCTTCACTATCGGTAGCGGTATTTGCTGATTTAGAACCATACTACAGATTTCATCATTCATTAATTGATTGATAATTGGTACAGTCATCGCAATAAAAATCTTCTGTAATATCATCTTCATTTATTACTGATTCGCCACATTTCTTTAAAAAGTCCATTAATTGAGAAATTTAACCTTTGGTTTGTGATATCCAAAAAACTTCCTACTCACAGCTATCATATCCATCAACTTGAATATGAAATACGCTAGCTGGCCATAAATTATGCCAAGCAGTTTCTAAAATTTTCGAAGACACATCCTCCCACAATCTTGCGATGTTCAACAAAGCAGATTTTACGCTAAAATATTTCAAATATTTTTTAATAGTCTTGCCATTATTCAAGAAATTTAACATGAATTTTACATATGCTAGTTTATATTTGCATTTCAGCGCGAGCACCATTCCGATATCCATAGGTTGAATCATTGACATACAATTTTGAGAAAAGAATAATATGGATACATTATCTTTCATTAAAACTTTAAGTGAAGTATGAGCCGAAGAGTTGTCTACAGTCAGGACAAATTTTGCGTTATCACATAAACCAAACAAATTCTGCGAGCCTCGGGTATGAAATGATTTTCAAACCAATTATTCCTTAACACTTCTATCATTTGTGTCTTTTTATTTGCATGATACATAACGGGAAACGTTTTACTCATTTATATGCTCGAGGTTGTATTTTTTCCCGATTATGAAAAGTTTACATTTGTGCGTTCCTGCCGCATTTGCTCATGGTAAAGTTGGTGGTCTCGCTTTGGAATCTTTGCAGCATTTTCTATAGAGGTTGAGAAAGTATCTTTCAGTACATACTGCCACATCAGACCAGTTTAATCAGTTTTGTAAATTTGTTCTGGAGATAACATTAAACTATTAACGAGTTCAATGAATTCATTTGCAAATAGTTCAACAGTTTCAGTACAAGCTGAAGCTTTTTTACCAGAAATGCTTAACTGCCTTATACCACATGGCGATTTTTAAATTTGGTTATCCAATCAGTCGAATGTGTGCATCCAGTTTTTAAGTTCATTTCTTAATGAAATATTTTAGCTTGCGCCATTAGCATTTCACTCATTAATGGCATGCCCTCACTGCGATGCTGTCCAATCCATTCAAATATCACTTTGTCATGATCTTCACGTTTAGCATAACAAACAATTTTTCTGTTATTCGTTGCGAGCAGGGGTTGGAATCCACAAAAAATTCAAAAAGTTCTTTTTTTTTCTTATGTTATACACAATTGACAATTGACTTCTTATGTTATAAACAATTGGAATGCCATATTTCTCGCATAATTTTGAGACGGATATATCTTTATCCATTTTTTTGCAGCAATTCCACTTTTTGTTTAATGGATATCGAAACTTGCTTTCACTTTATAGATTCTGTTGCAGCTCCAGAATTAGAAACTCTTTTCGACACTAACGGAAAGTTGAACCTTGCATTAAATTGCTGTAATAAAAACAATCTACAAAAAATAATATTAGGGATATTAATTATTAGTAGATATAAACCAACAATGTTTCTATCTAGAATCTTGGGGGGGGGTCAAATGTGCATGCGTAAAGCATTCAAAAAAAAAAGTTGTTGGCAGTTTTTAGGACTGGATTTTAGATCATTTCGGATATTGGATGTCCGGATCTTCGACTTAGTACTGTATACTGTTTAACACGAATTAAAATTATAAACTGTTTAAGAAAATTTTAAAGCAAAATACTAATTTAAAGAGAAAAATCAGATTTAAATCACAAAAATCTGCCTTATGGCTGAAATTATTTTTTTATACACCCTAATAGTATTTGTGCACTTTAATGATATCTCTGATTCTTTTCAGAGCTCATTTAATATGAAATTTTATAATATATACTTTTTTAAAAAAACCAAGTAATGAACCAAAAATTCTGTTCATTAACTCAAATGGATTATTGCTCGTGCATTTATAAAGTTATAAGCCCACTGTGTTGCATTTCCTTCAAAAAAAAAAAAAAAAAAAATCTAATAAGCATCAAATTTATTTATGGTGTAAAAAATACAGATCAGTGAAGCACTGCTTTGTTATTTTTATCTAAAATTTACTATAAGAGACAAAATTAAAGTTTACAGCATATTTAATTTATGTACTTACTTGCTTTTGCATTAATTGACATATATGTGTGGCCACAATATGATATCCGTTTATTCTTTGGATCATATAGTTTGAAAAAGAGTAGGACATCAGCTAAGAGAAATAAAATTTTTTGGAAAATAGAAGTAATTGTTTTAATAAGGAAAATAAATGCAGCAAAATGACAGTAACTTAAAATGAAAAAAGAATAAATAGCTAAAGGAAACAGTATTACATTATTTTTCCAGCAAAAATCACAACTGCAAAAAGAACAGCAGAACACCATTGTTTAGTGAAATATGGGAAAGTACAAAAGGTCTAGCTGCTTAAAGGGACAGATGACTTCAAGAAATATTTCCTGGTGAAACTGGCTCATATATATATTACAGATGACAAAAACCACATTCCCAGCATTCAAACCAAAAGCAGATTTATGGAGTAATGTGTACTGGATTAAGACTTTAGAAACCTTCAGCAACTGAAATATTTTGGTGATCCCTTATTTACACCACTTTTTCACCATGCTTTTATTCTCAGACTTTCTTAATTGCACCCTATATCCTACAATAAAATTAGTAAAAGAAAGTTTCCGTAGTATCCCTTTTCCTTGATGCCCTAAACCACATGCTATTTTGCATAATGGCTAATCCAGCTCTGAATGTCACAACTGCAAGGGTTCCCCTATTCCACGGACTAACGAAAACACACACACACCAAAAACAGGTAAACATAGCCTGTACCTCAAGACAAGGAGTACCTCTGAAAGTTCAAGAATAGCGCTCTACTTCATAAATCTGCTAGTGATTCAAATACAAATTTACCCAAAAAATTATGAAAAATAGTGGAATATCCCAAAATAATAATTTATCTTAAAAACTACACAGATTCCTAACACATTTTACAATAAAAACACTGATTTATGCACACAAAATGCTAAATAACTTCAATAGTTTTTATTAAAGTATTAAATTATTTTATTAAAGTAAATTAAAGTAATAAATTAATTTATTACTTTAATAAAAACGTTATAGTGTGACTACAGGTTATTTGCATATAACAATACCATTAAATTTAGCAAACTGAATTTTCTAAAAACGAAAGTTATGTTTACTTAAATCCCCCCCCCCCAAATAAATATGAGGCCTACCAGCGGCCGAGCGGTAAAGTCGCTGAACACTGGTAGTTCGGTCCGAGGTTCGAATCCCGCGAACGGGCTGGCTGCATGGGCGTTTTCGTGGTTTTCCCCCTGTGTAACGTGTATACGAGCAGTTCCCTTAGAAGTCCTCCACAAAAGGCATCCCTCCTCTTAGGCAGATAGCCCTAGTGTGCTTTGCCATAATTAAATACACCAACACCAAATAAATATGCATGCATTATCAGAATTCTACAGCCTTCTTCATATGCAAACAAGAAAATTTTTATGCAGTTTTAAATTTAAGTAAACTGAAATCTTTTTTAATGTTTTGACTAAAAAACATATAAGAATGTGTAAAAAACATTTTAAATTATTAAATCCTAATAATAATTTTAATCGTAATAATAATTATATTAAAATTATTTCTCTTGGTAAATAATTTTTAGATTAATTTTTAAATTATTATCCAAAGTTTCTTTAAAAGAAGACTTTAATTTGTCCTGTGCTGAAGACAAGTTCTTGTTCCTTATCAGTTTAAATGCTGCTAACAAAAAAGTAGAAGGATTTCCAGTCTGATATGTAGGTTTCATTTAATTTAATTAGCAGTTAATTTTATTTTGAAGCAACCTTTCCTACTGCTCTTGTTTTCAACCCATGCTTTCTTGCCAGAATGAGATTTAAGTTTTGCATGTTATGCACAGTAGGAAGAAAAATACTATTTATGCCGGTGTCTGAGTTACTTCAGACAGAGCATGCTCTGCCTTTCAGACACATTGGCTCTGCTACTTAAGCTTACTATTTTATGGCCATATATATTAATAGCTGGTTAGTCTACACTGGTGATAGGGTCAAGAGCCAACCCATAAAATATCTCTGTATGGCTTTAGCTAATTATTTCAATTAGACTTAGTTTTAATTTTACATTTGTTTTAAGTTGCTGCCAAAAGTGTCAGATCTGCAAGCACCAGGAGTGCCAACTGTAAATACTTTTAAGTTGAATAAAAGAGTATTTTCACCCCTCCAACGTCTTGTTACTGATAAACATGAACTTAGTCGCTTCACAGTTCAAGTAAAAATCTAGCCAACAAAGTAACTTTAATTTAGCTAGATTCTTAGATACTTCTTAACATATAAATAGTTGAATAAAAAATTAGGTTTTGGCATAAAAATTGAAGAAAAAAATAGTATTAAATATAATGAGCAATAAAAGAGTAAAATAATATAACAAAAGCGAATACTAACTTTCTTTATCAAACTCTGGCAGACAATGCATTCCAGAATCTGGTTCAACAGTTTCCAAAAACACTGTCCATGGACTAGCATTATCAGCAATATCAATTAGCTATTCAAAAAAAAAAAAAAAAAAAAAAAAAAAAAAAAAGGTATTATCCTCAAACAATGCTTATTTTAAGAAAACATTATATTCTTACAATTATTCTCTGACTACCATCCACCCCCTTCCCTAAAAAAATTAAAGAGGAAAATATCTTGTATAAAATAATAAAAATATTACTGCTTTCAAAAGAAAAAAATTTAATATTTTCAGAACTTTACACCAAGCAGAAGGCAATTTGCATATGAAGCAGAAAGCAACTTGCATATTATTATTAATCAGCACAGGATTATTTTCAGTGTTACAACAATCAATCAAAACCTCAAATCTTTCAAAGGCAAGAGAGGGGGGGAAACTACAGTTAAAACTCCTCCTAAGAATTCTACAGATTAATATAGCACTCGGAAATGAAAAGTTGTTCGTGTTTAAAATTTAATAATGAAATTTTCAAATAAAAATTTTACATGCATTTTAATCAAATTTAATGATTATTTAATTCAAATAATCACAACACATTTCATTTCTCAAAACACAAATTTATGGTCTGAAAATATTTTATCATATTTGTTTAAACTTTACTTAAAATGGCAGTACATTTCAGACATATTTAAATCAATATCAATTAACAAAAAATCGGTAACTGTTTAATCTTTTTATATGTTCCAAATAGTATATCAGCATTTTTTTCTCACTACTATTTCTTCATCATTACATTGTTTCCTACTTAGCACCAAAGAAATTTGTGTACATTTACTAACATTTAAAATTAATACATTCCCATAAGCATTTTATGTAAGTAATTATTAAATACACAGCTGCTTAGTGATTACTCATTAACTGCTTAATTAATGTTTACTATTTCCATCTTATTATTCATAATAAACATACATTTTCAACTGTTATTATATAACAACTTTTCACTCATTGTGTGCTTCCTGTTTTAAAAGATGATTTTCTTATTATACCAGCCATGAAAGATGCAAAATATAATGACAAAATACCACCTTTGAAGAATACAGTATTTCCAGAAAATAAAAGGAATTTTTTCCTTGGAAACCAACATAAGTATAACGATCTGATGAAATTTTAAACTTAACTAAAAAGCTGCATAACCTAAATGTGATTATGTCGTTTTAAATAAATGAATGCTACACTTACGTGTTTGGTGCAGTCTAATTCTAAATCTACAGCTACTGGTCGACAAGTCTGGTTCGTTCGATATATCAGGGGCCAAGGTCGGATCATATTGACAGGATATTTCTAAAATATATTTGTTGAACAATTTACTTTTCATGGAAATGAATGAGGATGAAAAACATAATTCAACATTAGAGTTTTCCATTTGCATGGGATAAAAAAAACACTGAAAAATTATTTACCATTTGCTCAGAGATAAGTGTTATGAACTCGCGCAACGATGTCATCTTTTTTACTTTAAAAGACCTGATAATATAAAAGTATTTTCAAATAATATCTGACAATACAAAAATGTTTTATATATATTTTCAGACAGCTACTATTTTTATATGAAAATTATTAAAGATACTACCTGTAGCTAACTTTGTCTGGATCATACAGATCTGTTCCTTGATGACCACAAAAATTATCGGATGTAACAATCTGAACATTCATATATATAAATGAGCCTCATTACGTTCTTTCCTTCGTAAAGTTTCTTGCCGCCTAATAATAATGTACAATTAGCTAGTTATATCATAGGAACAAATTTATAGTAATGAATTCAGTGACTGAAAGCCAATTAATTGTACATAAAAGATGACATTAACCGTTTGAGTCCCAAACAGCACGAGATTTTATGTCAAGAAAACCCAATACATTTCAAACACTGTGGACAACTGGCAGTGTTACTGATTCCCGAAGTTGCGTGCTCAGATTTACTGAAGCAAGTACATCACACAACTCCTTTTAATGTAAATAGTACATTTTACAATAGATAGAATAATACTATAATAATGCAATAATACATTACAAAAAAAATTATTTCATTGTTATCTTCTTCAATAATTTTTAGTAAACAAAATTTGAAATATTTATAAATTTACAGTATGCATATGTAATAATACATTTTATAAAATAATGAATTACAAATTTAAAATATTTTTGTGTTATGAACAAACAATTTAAATGGAGAGTAACAATTATAATTTGTAACACTGGTGTTTATCAAAACATATTGGATGAATTCCTTTTTTACAGAGCACACAAAGTAAATGTGATCTTTTTATAGCATTTTTGGTACTGCAAACTACGCATTGTCGCAAGTTACATTGAGGCAATTTTATTAAACCAAATGTTTTTTCCTTTACACAAATATGTGCTTGCTTTTCATTCATCCACAGACACTCAATTTCAAAAATAACACTAGACATAAAATCTAACTGAGATATTGCTTTACTCAACTCTTTCCTTGTAGATTAAACATGCATTTAAAACCATGCGGTTGATTATGTTAAAGGCTACCTTTTCCCAATATTTAACTGATCTTCGTTCATCTAGATAGGTATATAGCATTTTTTCCGATTCATCGACACCACCAATGAAGGCATTGTAAGACTGAATAATAACAGATATTGTGGAACGTATTTCTCTGCCATGTCGATTTTTTGTTATAGTCACATTTTGCTCTTCTGATTTCGTTGAAATTAATAATACAGGATTTTTTACTCTTTTTTTTCGCGATAGGCACAGAATAATACTTCATTATTTCGAAAATATTTCACCTCATTTACTTTAGTTTGTTTCAAGTTATCGGCAATACATTTCTTGTTCTTTCTAATAGTTCTAGTTAAATAAGTATCCATAGAATATAAATATCTGGCTAATTCTACGCTAATAAAGAAACTGTCGAAAAAAATGTGATGTCCATTATTAAAACAATTACTATCTTAAAAAATTTACCGCCACATCATATCCGAGCCCAAAACTTTTTTTCCCATCAGTAGTAGTTGTTTCTTTTGCATCTTTATAGCAAGAGAATGCCAAACAATATTTTGAAACGGAATCACACAGCATCCAGAATTTTATTTCCCAACAATGATGCTTTATATTTGGCAAGTATTGCGTTATGCTAGAATGACATGGCATTCCAACTAGCGACTCATCAACTGATAATTTTTTGTGTGGTTTATAATGTAATTTGAATACTTTAGTAGTGTGTTCAACAAGTGGCTTAAATTTTGCACAGGGATCACAAGTAACGTGACCATGTGGAACCATGTAGAGTTATCAATTAACCGAAAATATTTCAAAATTCGTCGAAATCTATTCTGAGAGAACATTCTCCGAAACCACAGTATGTTACGGGAATTTTCGGACCAATACGAACGTGTATTGGGTTTTCTTGCAATTCCCATTTCCAACAGCACTGCTATAAATGCCTTCATCTCTAAAATGGTAACTGGCGTCCAAATAGCTGTATCAAATGATTCCAATTCTTTCATTAATTTGTGAGTACGCTCATAGATTTTCCTTTTCAATTCATTCTACCTTTTTGGGGATACAACAAATTTTAAAAAGTTAAACAATAACTTACTTTTTGCGTTGCTTCGTTTAATCATTTTGAAACACATAATTATTAACAATGAGAAATACTTACGCAAGAATGCGTCTGATTGCTTTGCAAACTGCAATAAATATGACGGAGTGATAAGAAAAAGACGAGAATTGCATTATCTAACAAATACAAGAAGCGCTATTTCTCCAATTGGGATTCATCGATGTACACTCCGCTAAAAATGGGGGACAGTTCTATATCCCGTTCTACTGGGCTGATTGACGAAATTCAAATTGCGTTTTTTGTCTCTCGAAAGCGCGACTTACGATATGTATTAGATTTGTATACAGCATTGTTCTAATATAGGTATTCTGACACAAAAATCAGACTTTTTCTGAAATAACATACCAATTTTTTCCCCCATATTTTGATTCTACGACGCAAATTATGCCAAACTGCCAAGTTTTTAAAATAGTTTTTAAAAAATTAACTCTCACAATTTTAGCTCCTCAATGTTAATTGAGTTTGGTATATATTTAATAATCTCTCTTTTTTATTAAACTTTTTGACATTTTTTTTGAATTCTTCCTTTCACATTTCAAAATTAATTCCATATAAAATTCACCCATTTTTTTATGATTATTTTTAAAATTTGTATTTTAAAATAATTTTAAAACAAATTTTTAATTATAATCTATAAAATTTTTACCATCATCTTAAAGTAGACGTATTTCTAAACACCTGCAAAAAATTAAGTTTTTATTCAAAATTTCTGAATATATACATGAATTTATATATTGGCGCATTTTGATATTCGGAATATTTGCTGAAAGCGATAAAACATAACAGAGTGACTTTTTTCCCGCTCAGGCACAATGAGAAGAGAAAAATTGGTTCCCATATATTAAGAAGTTCAGCAAGTGAATTATTCTTGGCGCAGATTGAAAAAATTGTGCCAAGATAAATCTTTGAATTTCTCTGTAAATTTCTCACAAATTTTACAAAGTTTAATATCTAGGCATAATGAGTCGTAGAATCGAAATATGTACATTGGTATGTTATTTCAGAAAAAGTCCGATTTTTGTGTCAAAGTACCTATATTAGAACCAATGCTATACAGTCAAAAGTCGTTAATCCGGACTTGTCGGGACTTCGGCGATTCCCGGATTATCGATTTTTCCAGATTATAGATCATCAGTTTAAATCTCGTAAGACGGCATGCACAAATTCTAAAATTAAAAATATGAAACCGTAATTTATGAAATAAAGAACAATTATGATCTAAAGGGTATCAAAATTTACAAAAAAAGAAGCTTAATATTAATTTGTTTACTTTATTAAACATTTCTTTCAATGTAAGTTGTTTCGTTTTATGTGATAATACTTTCACTTTAATTCTATAAACAGACATAATTTCTTGTTCAGTTACAAAGTTCCGCTGTTCAAGTCCCATAATTGCTGTGCCGAGAATATCGACTAACTTGTCAATAAAAATTTTTTCGTTTTCACTAACCTCTCTGTCACCTTCTTCATGTCTTTATCCATTTTTTGCAGTAATTCCACTTTTTGTTTGATGGACATCAAGACATACTTTCGTTTTGTAGATCCTTTGGGAGCTCCAGAATCGGAAATTGACATAATCGAAAGTTCAAGTTTACTTTTATAAAATTGCCCTTACAGTCTGCAAAAAATAATAAGCCACATCCAATTCGAAGATTAAGGAACAACGCAATCATCAACATTAACTGAAATAGATAATTAGATAGTTTTAGCTTATACCGTCTGTTATACATTAAACGCGCACGCGAAAACTTATTCTGCACTTGCACACACGCATGTGCGCGTAAAGGTCTTACGCGCACGCGTAAACGCCTATGCGCATGTGTCAACGCGGCGCATGCGCAGAAAGTTTTTAGCTTTGAGGTCCGGATTATGGGTGTGCGAATTAAGGACTTTTGACTGTATATAAATCCAAAAGTACCAATGCTATATATAAATCTAACATATATCCTAAGTCATGCTTTCAAGACATGAAAAACGCAATTTGAATTTTCTCAATCAGCCAGTAGAACAGGAGATATAGGTCTCTTTTTCCGCAGTGTACAATAAGCAAAGCACTATTGCGACGCTTGGTATTTCTTAACATAAAATAAAACGAACACTATCGCACTGCTTGGGTCGTTTCATACTCATTTAGAAAAGCGTGGCTGCACTGTTTGGAATTCTCCGGCAGTATTTTTTTTTCAAAGAATTAAACATTAAAATGTAATACCATATTAAAAGTTATACAACCATGTCATTAGCTCACAAAAGTATTGAAATAAAATACAAAATAAACTTTAATATTGCAACAGCGCACACTCTTGAAAGTTTATTAGAAAAACTATGGAAATCAAAACCACCGACATGCACAGAGCACTTCAAAAGAAAAATATTGCAATATACGATACCTATGGAAATACACACAGCATATTCCATTAATAAGGTAGATTAATACATGATATTAAACCGTTACATAATATTAATACACAGAATTAAATCCCTATCATTTATCTGCTTGCAGAGTTGTTTTCTTTACATATAAATATATTTAAAATAAATTTTGTGTTCAATATTAAATAAATTATTAAAATGCAACTATCTTTTATTTAGTTATTGTTATGAGTAAACAATCAAATTTAATGCATAATATTCAAAGGGGAAAGTGTTCACTTTAATTTTTTTTTTTAAATAGTGCATGGTTAGTTATTCATGAATAAATTATTATGTTATTCATGAATAAATTTTACTTCTGAAAAAATTATTTGAATAAAGTATCTTTCAAGATACAGAAATTCATGAACCCACCAGTATTTTTTGGTTAAAACTTAGAGGTATTATGCTTTGGTGGCATCACCTCATAATAAAATTATAATCGGAATTACTTTATCACTGCCATGTGTATGATACTGGGTGTGGGGGACAGCACCCAAGTCACCAGACTGAAACCTAAAATTGTAGCAGAAAGCTAACAGCTCTGATCAAATGGTTTTTAGAATGCAGATCTATGAATCATCAAGCTGTCCTATATTTAGCCCCAATAACAATTATCAGCACTTTTTCTTAGCAAGCAAAAGGTAGACTGCCTTCACAGTCCCTACATTCTATAATACCATACTGAAGGATATGATTTGTATCATCAATAAGAGTCGATCAACAACCTATCAATTCAAGACACACGACATCAACAATTCAACAATATCAACAATCAAGACACACGCCTATCAATCATATTGCATGTTTTATAATGCATAGTTAAACAAAAAGGATCAATTTTATAATTATTTCCTTACACAAAGACTAAATAAGCATTTCAACTCCTTATATATAGAAAAAAGTTTAAGATGTTACCATATACTGGACTCACACTCAGCTTTGAGAAACACATATTCATTAATCATTTAAGGTGCTTAAATATTATCACAACCACCTTAGGAGAAAACGCCAAAGTTTTGTGCATCACAATTCTTCAGTTTTAACAATCAATGTCACCGTGTTAATATACGTACTTTTATATGTATTCTAAATTCAACTTTTTTTATAGATACTGATATTTTTTGTCTTAAAAATATGTATTTGTGGGATCTGCCTGCATTAAAAGGAATTGCAGTAAAATTTTTTCGGGATTACAGTACTTTGTCAAAAAATTGATATAGAGGACAATTAATTTGAATCTCTTCTTAAAGTAATAGCCAAGAAATTTCCACCAAAACAAAAGAAACATGTGTAAGTGGGTTTATCAATTTTTTCTTTTAAATGTTTAGTTAAAAGGTAAAATATGCCTGTGTAATATGTATGTGTATAATAAGTATCTTTTACAATTATAAATCATTCTTTTCTCTGTAAACTTCATCAAGGTGATAACGCTAACATATAAGTACCTTATTTAGTGCTGAAAATTTATTCTACACTGCTGAAAGAACAGAAAACTGGTCAAAAGGATTCATCAAAATATGTTGGCATAAAAACATGTTATTTGGCTAAAACAGCCTCTTTCCAAAATTTCAATATTTTCAACGAAAGGATGAATATTAGAATAAATACCTTTCTTCCAGAAGTCTCTCTACTAACTGATCTGGAATATCTTGCTCGGTTACAGGTTGCAAAACATCAGCTAATATTAATGAAAGAAAAAAGATGAATTTATTTGCAACATGAAAACTTAACACAATTAAAAACTTATTATGGTTCCATAAAAATTCTTTTTAACTCGTATGTATTCTAGAAATCATCTAAATATGCTCAATAACAACGCATTAATATTCCAAAAGAAAAAATTTGATTCGGGGTTACTTAAAATATATTTCAGTAAGAAACCTACTACTTTCATGAGTTATAATGCATAATATGGAGTGACGCTGATAATGAAAATAAACCTCACAAATGAAGCATTTTACAAAGAAATGTTACAAATAAATGTTAACTCACTTCTAAATTTACAGATGAATCCCTCACCTAATGAAGCTCCCAAAATGCTTTCTAGCCATTTAGTTGTCAATGGCTATACTGCATTTTTGTTTTTTGGCTGGAATTTACCATTTCATAGTTTTTTTTAATTATTGTGCACCATCATAACACTTGAACTACTAGTATTTTTTATTGATTATCCCTATTATACAGTATGCACAGTACTGATAATTTTTTCAGTAATTATCAATTATTTTATTATCACATTATGGCCAATACTGTTATTTAGTCTCTCAAATTTGCAGGTTAATTAACATTTGGCATTCTAAAGACCAATTTCCTCCTTAATAAGTAAAAATTTTCCTAATATATTTTGTTTCCATATAAGAACCAATACAGTTTTTTTTTAAGCAATATGTTAAAAACTGCAGAAAATCCCAGTATTTTATTAGGAAATTACTATTCCACAAACTCCACATATCAGTACTCAAGATCAAGTCATTTATTATGGATTATTTTGAATACAGCAAAGGATAAGAACAAAAGGAAATCATATTGATTCATGGATAATATTTTAAAGGAAACTGGTTTATTTACATTACTCGTGGGGGGGAATACTCTCTTACAGCACTGCCTAGTCACTAGAATTCGCACAACCAATAATCAGAAGTCAAAAAGTACATAAAATAATTCTGCTTGACTTTGAAACAAAATCAATGTTCTAAAGCAAGCCCAATCATACAATCCTTTTAAATTAACATTAAAATTTCTAAGTCTACGCTCCTTAAAATAAACTGATTAAAAGTCGCACATTATAAATAATACAACTTTCTTGCTTCAAGTTGTTTAAAATAAAAAAAAACCCTACTAAAATTCCTTTTGCTAACATTAATTGCGCGAAATTAAAATACAGAATAAATAAATCAGTCTAACTTAGTAATGCTTAGTCTAACTTATCAGTCTAACTTAGTAATTAACTTAGTAATGCTACTGAAAGATCTTTTATATGATATTAAGATGAACATTAAATAATGAAATGTGATGATACGCTACTGAAGCACTAGTTACATGAGAGATAATTTAAAAATCTCAGTAAAATTTAAATACAGAATTCAGGATGGCCCTCTCCGGCCTAAAAACTTGCTGAAACAAAATCAAATCCCTGCCTCCCCACAGGCTAAAAGAAAGATGTATTACAGTTTCCATAAGTCAACAGTATTGCAATAGCTCTAGCTAACACTGGCAATGGCATTAACGATAAGAGAATTTAAACAGATCACACCAATAATTGGATTTTCTCCATAGATATTCTATATGATTGCATATTAGTTACATTAGAAATAAAATTAATAGCTCCTGTAATTCATGAAGCCCCTGCTAAATGTAATGAAAAAGTTCCAAAATCAATTGATAGCCCAAACTTTTCCTATTTATTGAAGCCAAAAGGTGGATAAACAGTTCAGTCTGATCCTATTTCCACTATTGAAGACAAACAATAAAAATAATAAAGAAGGTAATAATCAAAATCTCAAACTATTTATTCAAGGAAAAGCTACATCAGGTGCTCCTATTATCAAAGCCTAGTGGCCCAAATCCACCAATTAAAAATTAATCATAATTATAGAAAATATATGAACATCACATGATTTTCTTGTATAGCCTATTAAATAAACACATTTTATGCTGCACTTCATTTAAACTTATTTTCTGAAATTACTCTAATTTAATTAACTAATTCCTCAAAGTATGTTGAAAATGATGTCAAAATTTCCAAGTTTTCAAATTAAGTACCACAGACAATTTGTGTCGTACATTTTCGTCAAATTTCTTCTATTTTAATTTTTTCATAATGAGTAAAGAGCATTTCTAAATATAAATACAATAATCAGGATACAACATTAAAAGTTAAATTTTTACCTGTCCAATATCAATTTTTTTTTTTTTTAATTTTACATTTACAAAACATGAATATTTTCGTCATTTCAAACACTTCTACAACTGGAAGTATATGACTATGACCAACCATTGCAAAATAAAGGCTGGGTAAGGACTTTTAAACTGGCTAATGGGAGTGTATATATACTGATCATCAAAATTATAGGATGATAGAAAAAAAACGTAACTGATACTTAATGAAAAATTATTAATAGAAATTTAAGTTAGTTAACATATATGAGCGTTAACTTAAATTACAATGTTTGGCTGTTGATTATTTGAAAAATATTGAAATTAAATTTATGGAAACTGGAAAATGATAGAAAAATTAAATCTTCTAAAAGTGCATTTTTCATCTCCTGAAAGGTTCAGGGAAGAATTTGGTGAGCTAAAATTTGGCACCTTAAGGCATCATACACATGCAGTCGGGTGAGAAAGGTAGACAATCCATTCGAGTGATAGCTTCTGTTTGCAAGTATTCTGACACTACATATGCTTAATGAGGATGAGCATTATCATCCATTAGCAAAATCTCTCGCCCAACTGCAGTCCTAAATATTATAAGATGTGGTTCCAATATCTCATCCACATATCTCAGAGCGATTGTAGAACCTCCTTAGATATGAAGCTTGGTGTGGCGATTTGTGGTGATTCCTCTTCAAACTTTTAAACTGCGTTAGCAGAAACAGGATGTTTCAGACAAGAGGAGGCAAGTTGCATGTTTTCTTTCCTTTCTCCACATCAAAATAAATACATCTAGAATCACTGTTCAGACTATATCTGGATTCGTCAGTAAACAATATCCAGCCCAGTCATTTTGGTTGCATTCAACATGACAATAGCACCAGTTTAAATGTGCCCCTCTGGAAGCTTGTGTGAGCGAGATGCAAACCATTGGTTCCTCACATACAGTCCAACTTCGTTGAGCCTTCGTGCAGCAGTAGAACAGCTAATTCAAGTTCTGTGGCAGCCTGAAGATCTGAAATCAAATTTCTTGCAGTCGCTTCCCAGTTTCTCCGAGCCACCAATGACACAAACAGACTTCTGAGGAAGTTGCTGCTTATGGTTGTTCCTGACCACGCTGTCTAATCACCGATACTATGCTTAAAAAGCTATTCCAAACTCTTGTTATGACACTGACAGATATTCAAATCTTGGGAGATTTCTATTTGTGTTCGACTTCTTTGAAATGATGCTTTTAAGCCTTAACTGCTGAATAATGATCACTCTTAGAAATTACATTCACTTTAAGCAACACTACAGATCAGAATTCCATCATGGGTCCAATGCACACCACATTGTCAGTCACTAAATTTGCATATTTCTGGCACTAACACATATGCAACAGTGGAATTTTGTGTTCAATTGTATTTAATTAACATAAATAATTATAGCATTTGGCACTGTTTGCAACATTAATTTGGTGAGAATATTTTTTCTCACTCCTTTAGTTTCTATGACCAGTGTATATACGTACTGCTAATTGCAATAAAAAAGCAAGCTGCAATTCGATGTTAACAATTCCATATGTAAAATTTCAAATTTTTACAGCTAATTATTTTTGAGTTAGATGAGATACATATGTACTTGCATTCTTATGTCAGGAAAAATCTAAATTACAATCCATTTTGGAATAAAGAGTCTTTTATTCTGTTTATGTATACAGACATCCCCCCCAAAATAGTTAAAAATATAGATGGATATCCATTTTGACAAAAAAAGTCAAAATGGATTCTGTTATCAGTTTTTGATGATGAATTGGAAATTCACATTAGCTTACCACTTTAAATGTTGAAAGCCAAATAATTAGTTTCTTATTTTTCTATAATACTCTTAAAATTGCTTCTCCAAATAATCCCAATAAAATTTCTCTCATCAAAATTCTATCAACATTTTTATAAAATATCTTCTTATTCACATTCTTCATATACGTATCTTTCAATGCAATTCATTCTAAAATGCACTGTACAATTTTTTAAAATACTTCAACCATATGTTTTTTTTATGGGACAGATGTTCAAATATATAAATTAAATAAATTATAATAAAGATACATTCAAAAAATTAAAAGGTTAGGGAGACTTTTTTCAGTTATTTTGCCAGCACTGTACTTCTGTTAGAAATTTTTTTTTGAGAATGATTTTCATTCGTACCGTATATTCACAAATAACCAAGTCCCACCGAATAAGACGTGCACCAGATATTTTCTCGATACACCAAAAAAGAAAAAATGTCCACGGATATGGCATGCATATTTTCATCAAGCCCACTGAAAACTTAATTTACAGAAAAAATCTTTTTTCTGAATTTTGAGCATAAAGAAACAAATATGATCCTAATCAATGGTTATCCGGAAAGAAATGGGAGCTACCACCTGCAGCTCCAGCCTAAGCACATAGCAACACATGCCAGTAACATTTTAATGAGAAGGAATTAATCAGTTAGTAGAATTTAATTCTACAGCAGAAAGAAAAAAAAAACTGCTAATTTAAGCATGTTATATAAAATTGTATTCGTTAAACAATAACTTCAGCTGTTTTGTGTTTCTTTATTTCCAGTTTCCAATCAAACTATTCTATGTTCTTCTGTTGTAGCAATATTGACAATGAAGAAGTACACGCTTTGCTTTTCTTCCCCAAAGAGGGTTCTAAGGACCTTGGAGGTTCTTTGTCCTCACGATATCAGTTTTTTCTCCAAGTGCTGCAACTTCAGTCACCTGCAAGCAGACACTGGCTCAGAAATGACAAAAACAACCCCCCCCTTTTGTCTTAGCACTGGTTTGTGTACTGCAATTCCTTCTTCCTTATCAGCTGAGCTCCAGTGCTGCAGCCTATGTTACGGCTAAGAAGCCATGTTTAGCAAAAACCATTCAAAGAATAACAGTTTGGTTGAAAGTACCAGTATATCCTCTACAAATCCCTGGCCCAGATTTGTTATTTGAAAGGTTACAGTAGCAACATATAATCTTATATTTTCTGGGGATACCGCAGCTTCAATAAGAAATAACTAATGTGGACCAACTTGCATTTACCTAGCCTATATTGCTTTGTTTTGTGTAAGCCGCACACCTCAATTTCTCCGATTAAAATTATTTTAAAAAACCTGAGCGTGGTATTCGTGAACATACGGCAACTTCCTTTTAAAATTATAAAATATTTATATGAATTGATGTGGCTTTCTGAGATAAATTTCATCATTTTATTCAACACTGAAATTTCTTTATGAAAACATATTGCAACTAACACAAAAAGCACAGCATACTTAAAAAGCAGTTCTCTTAAAACCACATTTTACAAAGGAACATTAGGCATAAAATGCATTATTAGACATTAAAATAAACGCTGCATGCTTAGACATTAAAATACATCACTACACAGTAAACACTAAAATATATTACTACATATTTAAACATAAAATATATTACTTTGCTGAAAAAAATATTTTCACTTTTACAGATAATCACGAAAAGCATAAGGATACTAAAATTGCAATGATTTTCTCTCCCTGAAAAATATTTGATGCAACAAACACAGCAATAAAAATTCAGAAAAAGTAAAACATAAGATGCAGTTATGGTTTGTTCTAAATTCAAAAAGATTTAGGAACTGAATATCAAACTGCATTTTAGATATAATGTGTTTATAGATTCAATTATTTCAATTTATAGATTCCTAAACATTGATTGCAGAAAAACCACACCTCGTCCAAACATGAAAGTAGTACTGAATTTAAAAATAACATGCCAAATACGATTGTTGGAGGTACTAAGGCAACAAGAGTCAGGGCAACAGTCATAAATTTGCACTTCTACAGCTGAAGAAGCTACATTTAATTCTTCAAAACTAGTCTGCATATATTTATGAATATTATGTTTCTTGCTGCCTTACCATCTCCAACAAATGAAAAGCTATATATTGAGAAGTTCTATTTATGGGACACTGTGACACAGAATTAAGAAAAGTTTCATTAACCCTTTTGCAGCGACTGTCATGCAAATGTGCCAGCAAGAAACACAATTCCCGGCTGGCATGCTACAGCCTTTTCTCGTTTACCCCCGGCTGTCACATATTTGTTCCTATGTCCCGGAATGTATTAAAGACCATTATATAGTATCCTGTATCCATTATTTTTTAAATGAATACAGTTTTAGGATCCTGACCTTCAATCTGATCTCATTCTGTGAAACGTTAGTGTCAGCTGTTGCAACAGGGGGATTAATGTAAACACCATTCGCATTTCTATATCCCTTCTAATCTTTTCTTTCTTTATTTTTTTTATTTTTTTATTTATTTATTTTATTTATTTATTTTTTCCCCTACCATGTAGAGTCTTTAAGGGTTACTATGCGAGATTTGCTTTGCATTGCTTTTATTTTGGAAAGCCTCAACTTCAGTTTATTATTATGGAGAACAGTGAAGATCACTACAAATTTTATTTAAGCATTTATTTCTTACATACAGTTTGTGGCTGCCACAATTCCATACCTACTTTGATAGAACAAAAAATGCATTTTCTTGACACAAAGACTTTCACCAAGCAAGCTGTAAATTTGCAATTTTAAACCTATTATCCTACTGTTAATGGGCTGCCACAAAGTAGGAAACTTACTCAGAGTTTTTGGTGTGACAAGCAGATTATCATTGTTAAGACTTATTTATCAGATGAATAGTAAATGAGCCAATTAGTGATACTGATTTAGAGTGATGATTGTTCTAAAGAGTTAGAGATCGAAATTTCTAGTGATTCGCATGCGGACATTTTGTCAGAGGCTGAGCTCACTGAGTATCTGCCATCTAGTTCATGCGAAAAAGATTTTATTCCTTCTTCTTGTAAACAGTCTTTCTTATATTTTTTAATTAATTAAAAAGCTTATTAATGTATTTTATCAATTAAAACTTCAGAATTATTTCAATAACACTTCCGAAAATTATTTCTCATAGTAAGCAATTTTTTTAAATATATTCATGTAAAGCAAGGAAAAAGATTATTAAACATATACGATAGCTTAATTAATAATCTAAAATACCACCAAAAATTATGACATTAGAACGTACAATTTTTGTTTGTGATTCCCCCCCCCCAAAGTTTAGTTCAGCAGATGGAAAGTCCACGGCCTGTGGGATGACTGCTTTCGACTCCCATCCATCCCGAGGGGACGACTTAAACAAAGGTGCACTGTCTCGAAAGGGTTAAAAAACTTAGCCATTTAGTTATATAATTTCGGTGGAAAAAATAAATCCAATTATCATACAAAATGATTTCAGAAAGTTACTCACCTATTGCACTATCTTTTATGTAAACAAGCATATAAGCATTTGTACAATGTTTTACAGTGATATCATCTTCGTGACCACCAAAATTATGATCAACAGCTTCTTGTTTTGAGCAGCGAGATACTACATCATCATCAAACTTACACCACTGTAAGACATCATAGTTTATTACTATATTTTTTTAATTTACACAATAATATACTTTATTTGAAGAACGGAATTTTTATTTTACCTTCCCATCTCCTTTTGGATTTATGAAAACTACATAATGGCCTCCATGATTATCTCCACTATGAACTAGAACTGCATGTAAAGTATATACAGGTGGAGCAGAATCTTCTTCATCTTTTAGAAACTCCTCTAAGTTAAGCTGTTCTGGAAATTCAAACCTATATAGACACATAAAAGTTTTAAAACTACAGAATATACGTTCAAATTTATTATTTTATGCAAAAGGAATTTCGATTTTAAATGATTGAAGAATTGAGTGGTTGATTAGAGTAGCATTAGATGCATACCTGTACTAAATATCACCAATATTTTTAAATTGACTTTAAAAAATACAGCTGCAAAAAGAGAATAAAAAAATTCACAGGAACATAAAAATCATTTTCAAAGCAGATGTTAACAACTGGCAGCTGAACTTAAGCATTCATGAATGAAATATATTAAATGCTTATTGTAGCAAGTTTGAAACATATTTAAATAGTAATAAAATTTTAATTTTATGTATTAAGTTATTTAATTTTCAAAATATTTTAACTAGCTCTAATAATCCACTTATATAAAACACAATAAAATTAATTAATATCTGAAATTGTTATCGATACTAGCTAATGGACAAGGTCAACTGCATTAATAACTGCTATAAAAAATTATGCAATGCTTTTAAATAAGCCTGGTTAGAGTAATTTTAACAGTTCGGTTAGTAATTAATAAAATAGATAAAGCAATTGTATTTATTACTTTTAAACCATTCGTTTGTTCATCAGTAACAAATAGATGTAATAGTAAGTCGATAACAAACAAATTTGAGAGAAAAATATATTAAGCTTATCCATATGGTAAAACTAGCTGATGGAATATTAAATAAAATTATACTGAGCAAAGGCAATACTTCTTTTAAATCAATCTTTTACTAAAATTGAAAAACAAATGCCTGGTAGTAACATATTTTTTTATATCAGTTTCTTATTTAAATTTGAAACATAAATATCTTATACTTTGTTGAGTGGTAAACATTACTTTTAAATCATCTAGTTTATTAATCCAAGTGCCATTAAATTTGCCCAAAATATGAAACAAATTCAAAATTCTGGCTTTGAAGTACATATGTTACAGAACTATGAGTGTTGAAAAATTTGATGGCTCTAAGTTCTGGTGTTTTTTTACAATGCAAGGAACATATATACATTATTTAATAAGATACTTGGTTTAACTACTAATTGTTGAACTGCATCACAAACAAAAACTCTTAAAGATCATCATAATGGTTTAAAAATTAAATTGCAAGCACTGATCAGAGAACTACTCTACGTCAGGCATTTGCATTTGACAGAATTTTTTTTGCAAAACCTCTCAAATCTAGGAAAGAGGGAGGGATGAGGTTGTCATTTTTTTATGAATATATTTAACTGTGGCATTCTGTAATAACGAATTCTGAAATTGTCTCATTTATTATACTCAATTAGAAAGCAAAGCGGAAGTAAAAAGAGCTGAAAGCCATCAGAAAATAAATTTAAAAAAAATGTTAAAACTTGTCACTCCCCATGATAGTCACTGCAATAAAAAAGAAGTTATGACACTGGCTATATATCTCATACTTTTATGTAATTATTATATAACTTATATTATTTAATACTAGAAATGCCAACAGCAGTCAAATTGACTGCTCAGCGAGTTAAATGTACATACAATCAAAAGTCTTTAATCCGAATATCCGTAATACGGAATGATCTATAATCCTGACCTGAAAGCTACAAACTTTCTACGTTTACACATACGCGTTTAATGTGTAACGGACGATATTAGCTAAGCTAAAATTATCTATTTCAGGTTACGTTGCAGATTGCATTGTTCCTTAATCTTCTAGTTGGTACAGGCTCTTTTTTTTTTTTTTTTTTTTTTTTTTTTTTTTTTGAAGACTGTTAGAGCAATTTTATAAAAGTAAGCTTGAACTTTCGATTATGTCAAAAAGAATTTCCGATTCTGGAGCTTCCACAGGATCTACAAAACGAAAGCATGTTTCGATGTCCATCAAAAAAAAAAGTGGAATTGCTGCAAAAAAAATGGATAAAGGCATATCCTTTGTTTCTCTAACCATTCCGAAATCTGTTTATCAATTTCACGCTGCTCTGCGGGGAAGGGGAAAGTCACGATGCGCAATGAACTGGAAGTTGATCTGTCAGCACTATCCTCATCTTCAGGGCAGATGTTTTTATTTTATTCGGCTTATAATTCCTTACTAAATGTAGTATTTCATCTCGATGTACTCCGTCTTTGATATGATTTAAATCAAATTCCTCGTCATTATAAATATCACAAATACACATACATCAAATAGTTTTCTGGTTGCAATTTTCTAATTTCGACTATGCGTAATGTATGCTTTACGCATGCGCGCGGTGAAATAAATGTTTAATAAAGTAAAGAAATAAATATTAAGCCTTTTTTTTTGTAAACTTTTATAGCCCTTAGATCATAATTGCTCTTTATTTCATAAATTACGGTTTCATATTTTTAATTTTATAATTTCTGCATGCCATCTTACCAGATTTAAACTGATGATCTATAATCCAGAAAAACCGATAATCCGGAATCCCCAAAGTCTTGATGAGTCCTGATTAAAGACTTTTGACTGTATATCAAAATGCAAGTGCTCTATAATGCTTTTAAGAATATTAATTATAGTTGTTTAAGAACTTCTTTAAACAACAACAGCTTATTTTTTTAAAAAATAGATATAATAACTTTCACCTTACCCTTAATAAAACACATTTTGTAGCTTTTCGCAGTTTTTATACAACGTTTTCAATACTGGAAGTGCATTTTCACACACATAATATGAACATTTTTTACATACATCACTGGTTTTGTTATTGTTACAAAGTCTAATCTGGCACTGACATTTATCCTTCGAGACCCTACTGCGAGAGCTGGAAATTTCGTGGGGCAATTGTGTGCTTTTTCTTCTGTTTAAACAAAGCTCTCTTAGCTCCTCTGCTAATTGAAATAGGAAGCTGTGCCTTGTAATACTTTTGTCACTCAATTTATGGTAGATAATGTAGGCATTCGTTTCTGCTAAATCCATCATATTATAGAAAACACACACAGGCCATCTACATGAAGCAATCCGAACAGAATATTTATCCGTCATCTGGTCAAGGATATAAACTCCACATTTAGTTTTGCTGAAAAACACTAATGTTTTTGGAAGTTTCTTTTTATTTTATGAGTCTACATTTACACTCGGATGTAAGGTACTTAGGTAGAAGGATATTTTTATTCCTTTTTCTCTGACAGACCAGCAGTGCAGTTTCACATTCTTTAGCAAAACTGTTTCAAGTAGTCGAGTTTTTGATTCCCTTACTTCAGGCGGTCTCTTTTTTTTTCCAGGGTCTTCTTACTGTGCCCACAAAACTTGCATTTTTCATTTTAAGCTTTTTAGCTAATGATAGTGAGGAAAAAAAATGTCCACAGTCAAATTTCTACCCGAATTCAGATAATGGCTTAGAAGATGCATGCATTACTGTATTCTCAAGAAGACTTTCAGTTTCACTTCTTGATGTATCTTGTCCAAGATAGGGAAAAGCACTGCGCATAAACTTGAGTTAACATCAACTAGCATCTAAAGTTTGATACAGAATTTGTCTGGTTTATTTGGCATATGCTGTATAAACTTACCTAGCTTTGGATGGAAATCCACACCTGCTCATCCACAATTAGATTTTCTCTTGGCTTATAAGAAATCGCACATTTTTTTTTTTTTTTTTTTTTTTTTTTTAAATATTCTGAAAAAAGTGCAAACTTATCACTTTCTAAATGCCGAGTCCTAGTTGACTTCAAGTCAAATCTTAGATATTTCACAATGTCTCGAAAACGATTGTGAGACATTGTTTCTCGAAAAACAAAAAGGCAGGATCCAATGTATTATTTCCACAAAATATCATAATCCATGTCATTGCAGCCATATATTGCAACCTCTTGCATAAATAATAGCAATAAAAGCATCAAGCTCTTCTAAAAATATTGTCCAAATTTCTTCATTTTTCAAAACCATCTGCTTCCATGCACATTTTAATATGGCGCAACATCCATTCATCCACAAACAACATCCAAGCACTCAATACATTGTCCCCGAAATTTCTTTTTGCATAAGATGTTGGACATGGCAATTCTTTAAGCACATTTTGAGCTCCATATTTCCCAGCTGTAGTTTGTGAATTAGATGTCACAGTCCACGAAAAAAGGTGTTTTCTGAACGGAAGGGAAGTATATCCTGTTGTAAATAATCAGTGAATGAAAGGAATGTGTATGCCAGACGTTTTTCGAAGAAAGAGAGTTTTCTGAGCATGGTAACATGATAAATCTACCCAGTGCTACTAGCAGTCAATAAGACATGGCATAACTAATAATAGCTTCGTTAATTTTAATTTTATTCAATTTATATTTGGTAAAAATAATTTTCGAGCTTTTTTAGGAAAGTCCAAAAATTTGTGACTTCTTAAGGTAAAGGGTGTTTGTTTTTACGAATCCAAGGTGAAATGACGAAAGCAGTCAAAATGACTGCTCTGGCACTTCTAGGGTTAAGCTAGAAAAGTAGAAAATGAACTGGAACTGTCTTGAATACAATGGTTTACAACACGAAAATAGACAGCATACCAATTTTTTAAAACTTTTTAAAAGCAAGTCACGTAACCAGTTAGATTGGCACATACTTTAAAAGTATGTGCCAATCTAACTGGTAAAATCTAACTAAGTAAAAATTATAGATAAGTAAATAAAATATCTTCTTGAGAGCAAATTTTGAAATTAACTACAGAATCTTAAAATATCACTTTAAGTCTCTTTCATTCCTATTTTAGAGGTCACTTTGCCTATAAAACTGCTTTTCAATTAGTTCCAGTTGTTGTTCTTCGAAACAAAACAATAATTTTTGGTACTTAGACACATACAAGCCAAAACATTATGACCATTCCCATATTTTTCAATGAACTTGTCTCAACGACATTGATGGCTCGTTATTAAACAGAAATGGTATTTAACTGCTGCTAGAGAAGGTAAAGTATCATTCTTGCACTTCTGCAAGTGATGAAAATGCTGCTGCCCTAAGCTAATCTGATCTGATTGAGGGCAAATTGTAATGGTGCAAAGCTCTAAAACGAGTATTCCTAAACTGCACGACTGGTAGGTTGTTTACAACCTGCCATTGTTAGTGTTTATGCAGTGGATAAATAACAGTAAAACCAGCAGTACACGACAAGGTGACTGACGTCCACGCGTCATCAAAGAAAAAAGGATGTTGGAAACTTAGTACCACAAAATCAGTGCCAAACAGTGGCTCAGCTAACAACCCAATACAATTGCAGGTCCAAGTACAGATGTTTCAGAATACACAGTTCAGTGGACACTGCTGGATATGGCACTGTGCAACAGACGTCCCACTCGTGCCTTTGTTAAGAATCACTGTCAACTATGTGTACAGTAGGCAGAGAAGACCTGACCATGGGTAAGTGGAAAAGAATTGCCTGGTCAGATGCATCATGACTTCTCAATTATCACATTGATAGTTATGTCAGAGTACGCCATCTTCCAGGTGAACAGTCTTCCCCTCCATACAGCAGGACATACACAGGCTGGTGATAGCAGTATTATGCTTGGGGAATGTTTTCATGGGTAGGTCTGGGACCCTTAGTTATGGTAGACCAGACCATGGAAGCTGCAGACTATCTGAACATAACTGCAGATCAGTTGCACCCTTACATGACATCTGTCTTCAGAACTGGAATCTTCCAGCTTGTGTCGGTGTGATTCGAGGAACATAAAGACGAATTTCAATTAATATCCTGGCCACCTAACTTGCCAGAACTTAACACAATAGAGCACATTTGGAATGTCATGGAGCAGCACATCAGAACTCAAACACCGCCATGTTTGAATATCTCGAATTCGTGGACCACTGCTTAGATATTTGGTACAACCTGTCATTTGTCAAGAACTTGTGGCATCCATGCCAAGGCAAGTTGCAGCTGTTCTGCAGGCCAAAGGTCACAGAGCACGTTACTGCGTCATAATGCTTTGGCTCTTCAGCATAGATTTTCCTGATGACCATCAATTTAGAGGAAATCTAGCCAAATTTATGCTAATATTCCTAGCAGAAATCTGAACAAATAGATTTTTGTTAAGATAATCACAGATTGCTCCTTATTCAATTAGATCACTAAAAGCTACAATTATGGATATAGCATACAAAAAACTTAAAATAGGAGTTCAAATTTTGAGACTGCATGACGAATTCCTTAAAACCTACACCAAACATTCTGCTGGCCAAAATTCCCAAATGGCATTTAATGTAGCCATTAAACAGCTACCTTCTTTATGAACTAGGTGCAACATAAATTTCATTAAATGCAAAACTATGTGATATCATGCACTTCCACAGTATTTTACACTGAACCCAAAATCATCAAATATTTTGAGCATGCACACCAATATAACAGTAGTCCCATAATTTTGATAATATTTCACTTTCTGATGCATACAAGATCCAAAATTTCAATCTCCCCCTCTGCCAAAAAAAGACAAGTATGTGTATGTGTCATTTTGCAAAATCACAACACTGGATCTTGTGGCAGTTACTGACCACTGCATTGAGAGGTACTGCCATACTTGTATTCTAACTTAGTTCCATGTGATTTTCACCTTTTTGGTCTCCTGAAAGAGCATCTTGGTAAAACATTTCACACAAAGGCAGTTCCAACAATAATCCAAGAACTAGCCAACAGAATTCTATGCTCCAGATTACACAAGTTTACCATCAGATGAGAATAGCATGTTTTAGGAAAGGGAACTACATCAAAAAATTAAAGAGCTAATTTCAATTTATCTGTCAAATTTGTCTAGAAATTACTCCAGTCAGACTGTTTACTGAATACCAACAGATTTCAATTTAATTAAATAAAATTTCATTCATCAAAAATCACTTTAAATAATCAGAGTTTAAAATATGGAATTATTATTTTAAAGCATTTAGGAGTTACGATGATATGTGCAGACTTATAAACACAATACATTTAAGATAAAATAAAAGGACAATATACTCTAGTAATACTTGTAGCAAATCTGCAAGATACAAAAATAAAAATTTTGCAAAAAAATTAATTCTCTAATTAAACTTCCATTACATAAAGATAAAATTTAATATGCATACCTGTCATTAATTTTGATATTTTGATCTGTTAAAGGATCATACTGGAAACGAAGAAGATGGAGATGCAGAACAGGTGGCAGAGAAGAGAAAAAATGCCCTTTTCTGCTTCTTGTAATCCATACTCGCCAGCATCATATTTATTTTCTCCGTCTAATGTCTCAGTAGCACAATAGTCTTTGAAAGATTCGATAACTTGCAGGGCGAAAATTATAAATATTTTTAATAAGTAAACAACATCCCCCCAAAAAAGCACAAATTCAGTTATATTAACTTAAATAAGAATGTTAAATAAGAGTATTTCTGCAACAAACACAATTTAGATAAAATATGATAAGTATTATATAGACAAAATATACTTTTATGCCTTCCTGCATGGATGACCATCCAGTGAAAATATTTCTTACTAAATTATGCAAGATGAAAGCACTGAATGCGGAAAAAAAAAGCATTAAATTTATACTGGCGTCTTTAATTTCCTTTAGAGCATTCTACCATATTTTTATATTCAGGGCCCGATTAAAATCATCTAGGGCTCTAGATAAAGCACTCTTTTTAGTTAGATAATGCTCACTTTATTGATTTTCACTCCATAAAAACAGAGTAATGATATCATTGAGAGCCTTTTAAAAGCTGGGTCAATACCACGCATTATGGGCTTACATGGTAATCAGGCCCTATCACATTTCATACATTAACATAAAACTACTAAATTAATGTCTAATAAATTTGAAAAAAAAAAATATCTTACTATAATCATTAATAAATTCCACAGATCTGTACATTTTTTCTCTCTTATCTTTTATTAAATGAAAACATTGGTTACTTACAAAAGGAAAAAGATCTCGTATATGATTAAACACATGGTTTATTTTCTAATAAATTTAGTATCTTCAAATAATGTTATCAGTTTTAGCATTTTCCTAGTTAGTGTGTTGTTGATTGATGGTAACAGCACAATTTTTCAGCATTATTTTATTTTGTACAAATGGGAAATACATGGATCTTTAACCCTCTGACTGCTCAATTTGTGGACCGAAATCGCTTCCAAATTTTTTGGGGGGCATATTTTAAATCTTTATATATTGGAGAATTGAAAAATGCACTTTTTCTTTGTAGAAAATATTTTTTATATAGATTTTTATTATGAGAAACTAAGTTGCTAGAAAAACCAATTTCAGATGTTATCACCAAAAAAATCTTTTTTTTAAATAAATTTCAGTCAAATTACAGTTAATTTCTATTTATTGCATAATAAAAAAAGGAAAATGTATAAAATTTAAGAAAATATAAAGCGCTGTGGGAAAAATACCTTAGAAATGCAGTTTAGTATGATAGAGTTCAAAACAGAGTTCAAGGCACAGTCAAACCTCACAGTCTTTGCACCAGATTCAATAAATCTAATTAATAATTCAATAATTTAATTAAATAATCAAGATTATCGCTGAACGTTTTCTAGCAGCCATTTCTGTAAGAAAAAAGCAGCAAAAAGTGAAATTTGAGTGCTAATACCATGTGCCTTCAAATGCCGCAATTTAGTGGACAACTAACAATATCTGTTTGCCAAAATGTAAACCAAATGCCTAATACTGTATATAATTTATTTCAATAATTAAACGAGGAAAAAACGGGATGTGTTCCTCAATACAGGAAGAAAACATATGCCAGCGGAAATCGTGGCATGAGCAAATTTTGCTACATTTGAGCTGCCCGTGAAAATCGCAGGACGATCAGCCATAGGGTTAACCTAGGGAAGAAGATACAATTTCTTTCTTCTAATCCAGAGGGTTTCTCCCAAAAGCATACATCTGTAAGAACATACTGGTTTGGAGGAGAAACTGATGGCCATGCACTTTCTAAGTGCAGTTGTAACAATCACCTTCAGGAAGTAGTATTTAGTGTAAAATTTCTTACATTCCCTTTCTAATGCTATGAAATTTAGTGCTAAACAAAAGAACTGACATCTATTATATGGTGTGAAAAACAATTAGACCAAGCTGTTAAAATTGCAATTGGTTGAAATAATTAGTTACTTGAAGTGTGTGCCATATGGTCAAAATTCAGAGAAACAAAAGTCCCAATCAAATTATTGAAAGAGAAAAAACTGGATTAATTCTTCTACAGCAGATTTTTTATGATACTTGCAAGGAAAATAGAAAGCAACACCTTAAGCAGCCCCAAAAGTAAAGCCAAATCACACATAGAAACAATCACATTTAGATGAGAAACATGATATACTCAGATTGTTCAAAAGAATAAAAATCTGAGCAATGTTTGTAATATGTTTTAACACTTTATGGTAAACCATACATACAACTATGAGAACCTACATAGCGATACTTATTTACAAAAATAAATGACTGAGATCAATAAAGTGGAAACATAAATTTAAAAAACACTGCGTTTTAGCACATCGGTTTATTATACTGCCGAATTCATTTGAAGAAGAACAAGGAAAACAAGGGCTTATCTGAAGCATTTTTATTTGTAACAGCAGATTCCTGGACACTAGAAAATGCAGTGAAATAAAAGTGCAGCATAGAAAACAAAATTATATACAAGTTTGCAAACTGATTATGATTAAATTAACCTTCTTTTATTTTTAGAAGAGCAAAATATATTGTAAATTTTCAGAAGATGTAAACCAAATTAATTTTGGAGCATTTTCTTTTAAACAGTGCCAATCTGTTCCCTTTAAAATGCAAGTACAGTCAAAAGTTGTTAATTCGGACACCCATAACCCGGAATGATCTATAATCCGGACCTCAAAGCTACAAACTTTCTGCGCAAGACCTTTACGGCTGCGAATATGCATGTGCGCATGCCCAAAATACGTTTACACATGCGCGTTTAATGTATAACGGATGGTTTAAGCTAAGCTAAAATTATCTAACTCAGTTAATGTTGCAGATTGCGTTGTTCCTTAATCTTTGAATTGGATCCGGCTTATTATTTTTTGCAGACTGCAGCAATTTTATAAAAGTAAGCTTGAACACTTGATTATGTCAAATAGAATTTACGATATATATTTACTAATATGTAAAGGATCTACAAAGCGAAAGTATGTTTCGAAGTCCATTAAAAAAAAGTGGAATTGCTGCAAAAAATGGATAAAGGCATATTCTTTGTTTATCTAACCATTCCGAAATCTGTTTATCAATTTCACGCTGCTCTGCGGAGAAGGGGAACGTCGCGATGCGCAATGAATTGGAAGTTGATCTGCCAGCACTATCCTTATCTTCGGGGCAAATGTTTCTATTTTATTTGGCTTATAATTCCTTACTAAATGTAGTATTTCATCTCGATGTACTCCATCTTTGATATGATTTAAATCAAATTCCTCGTCATTATAATTCGCTTCCGATAGCGAAGAAAGTAAACAAATAAATATTAAGCTTTTTTTTTTTTGTAAATTTTGATACCCTTTAGATCATAATTTTTCTTTATTTCATAAATTACGGTTTCATATTTTTAATTTTATAATTTCTGCATGCCATCTTACCAGATTTAAACTGATGATCTATAATCCAGAAAAATCGATAATCCGGAATCGCCGAAGTCCCAACGAGTCCGGATTAACAACTTTCGACTGTATTAAAAAAAAATTGTAAACATTTTTATTAAAATGACTTATTTTGCATTTTCAAATTAGAACAAATGTAAGTCTTCTAATGAATAGAGATAAAATTCCAAATAACTTACTACTTTTTTTCCCCTTGACATTCAACTGAATATCATAGAAGGGCTCTTTTCTGCTAGAAGTGTAATTAACATGCTTGCATCGAAGAAATGACTAAAATGGGGGGGGGAAAACTTATAAGCCAAAATACATAATTTGAAAGGCAAAACTCTATCAAACCAAATACTTAAATTACATTTAAATACTTAAATTACATTTATACCAAATACTTAAATTACATTTAAATTATTATCTCCCTCAAATATCTCTAATATGTTGAACATTACAAAACAATGCATTACAGAATTATATTCAAATGGTAATTTCTTATAAATTATGATATATACATACATATAATTCAAAAAATTTAACAAGTAGCTAATTAATTTCCATGTAACCAATTACTAAACAGTATATGACAAATTTTTCACATCTTTCATCACATCAATCAACAGAAAGTATATATTTAAATACTGAAAAAAGCAACCACTATATTGAATCAGTTCTAAGAATTCTTTATAACAAGTCAGACTTAATCAGTTTACTTAGAAACTAAATACTCAGAAAGATTATTTTTAATTTAATCTGCATAATCTTTCCTTTTTAAATAAGGAATAAAATACTGCAACCACCTAGATGGTGGTTTTTAATAGAAGAAAAAAATAGCTTATAACTGCAAAGCAATTTTCCATTAAAAGTATTTACTTTGAAGTATTAATCAATAAACCACTTACAAGACAGTTTTTGTTTTTGTTCTGGTGGAAATTTCATGCAGATTGTTTTAAGCATAGATTAAAAGTAATTGTTCCCTTAACACCTTCGCGCCGGGTAGCGCAAATGCGCGCTTATCGTGGAGGCCGGTAGTGTCTTACGCGAGCGTCTGTCCAGGGCTGGGGGCTTTTTTGCTATTAAGCCTAAATCCATGAAATTTCCGAAGTATCAACGCATTGTTTAATAATGCTCTATACAGTATTTAAACGGCTTATGCTTTATAGATATTTTTATATATACTTTAATTACCTTATTTCTTGTTTAAATGCATATTTTTACACATTTTATTTTCATTACTCACCATTTTATGACTTTTAACATTATACATCTGAAAACTAAATATATTACTTAAAATTCTCTTTTCGTATGAAAAATTTGAAAACAGGGATCTACACACAGTTCTACGTTACATTCCTTGCACTCGTAACAACTCATTTGCCATTTTGGAGGATTTTTCCTGGAATGTGAACAAACGAAGCATCGTCGTCTCATTTTCTTATCAGTCTCTTCTGAACAAAGTTTTGGAAAATGTCTTTCTGTTAATCTTTCAGAATCAATATCAGAATTTCAGAATCAATATCTGAAATATTTTCCATCATTTCTGCTATTTCATGCTCAGTTTAACATTTTCGAAGCTTCGACATTGCAACGGTAAAAACATTTCGAAGCTTCGACATTGCAACGGTAAAAACAGACAGAATTCACGTCTAACAAGATCTAATTATTTTCTAAAAACTGAACTGCAAACCGAAATACCCAACGCTTAAGCGAAAATAAAACTCCTCTACTTACAATAAACAACTACCACATGCGAATTTAAAGAGACGTCATAAATCACGCCCTTTGGAAACATTTATTTCCCCTTTTGTTTATATAATCAAAAACACATGTATGTGAGTCATGCTTCTCTCATTTCGAGTAGAAAGTCTAATGTACATGTATCTGAAACCATATGGACATACAGTGCCATCTTGTGGCAGAAATTATAGTTTTTAAAATGTTCCAGGACACTGGCACAAATACGTGACAGTCGGGGCTGAACGGGAAAACGCTCTGGCACGCTAGGACGGGAAGTGAGTGTGTTCGTTGCTGGCATGTAGACGTGACAGTCGGCGTGAAGGGGTTAAGGAACTTAACTAAAAAATGCAATATCCCTGCATAAATTTTATTGCAGTTTTTCTATTTTAGCAAAATGCCACAAATGAACATTTTAAAGCTGATTGTGGGATAAAAATTATCTCAATTAAAAACCACTGAAACTTAAAATACAATAAGAATACATATGAAAATGATGTTTCTTGTTAAAATTAAAGGATTATTATGTCAATCATAATCCTTTAATTTAAAGAGGTTTGCGCATTCTGCATATCTTGGAACTAAGGGAGTTAAGGTAGTACAAAAGAGCCCAAAATAAATGACAAGAAATCATTTTAATAAAAACTAATGACCTTAAAATTGCTTTTTGGATGTGCTAAAACTAACAAAAAACATAGCAAAACTGACAATGACTAAACTATGTTAGAAGTTTTATGAAGTGATTATGTAAGAAGTTTAATGAGGATATGGCTCCTTGCCAAATGTTTAATGCAAGGAAAAGAAAGGCATGGCAAAGGATTCTTAATACCTTTTTCAATAAAGCTGTCATGTCTCCATGTCCCCACTATACCTTCAGTTGATCTGCTAATCAGTATGCTTCAAGTTTCTCTAATTTGCATTTCTAATTTACCACTTAACTCATCTGCCTTAGGGTTTTTTAAGGAGGAATTATTCGATTTCAAGTAGTAGTTTGTTACACACTTCAAGACTGTCCTGAAATAGTACACAGCAATGCCATTAACAGATGTACAACTCTCTTCACCTCAGCTGAACTGCAATGTCACTTCTTAACTGTTGTTTAGATATATCTTCTCTCTTCTTCAAATGTTCTTGATAGTAGAGTAAGCAACAGTCCTCTTGAATTCTCCCCTCTTCCCTTAAAAAAAAGTTCTCCCTCTGAGATTCCTTTTAAGTAAAGCCCGCAGTTCTTCAAGGATAACCACATTTTAGTATGTTCTCTATATCATATTCTTCAGTCACCACTGCTCAGGAAAAAATCTACTCTCCAGATCATTATGTTCTGGTACATCCTGGATATAGGCAGCACACATACTCATCCATGCTGAGCTGATTTTCTTTCAAGCAACTTGAGAGTTTCTCTATCAGTCTGATATCTTCAATAATTTTGAATTTATTCTTTCAGAATTTTATGTCAAGACATAAAAAAACAGTGGACTTTAAAGCACTCTACAAGTGGTCTTTTTTACAGTTTCCTGAAGTTAGAAATCAGCTGTATATCCATCTGCTGAAGTAGAGAAGGGACATGATAATTACTGACTTTACCCTCCAAGTTTTTTTAGATGGCTCGAGACATTATCAAGCAAATGCAGGCTTTAGAGACAAATTTTACTACATTCTGATGCAGAAAGAAAAAAGCTGTACTATCTATGCTTTAACAATTAACTGACTGATCCAAGATTTTTCATTTATTCTCCATGAGATAAGCAAACCCAATTTTAAAGTACTCCGTAATCTTTCGGGGTTTTTTAACCCTCTCAGTGCCATGACCGGCTTTATATAATCATGAAATTTTTTGTCACTTGGTATATATTAGCTTATAATTTATGATATTTTACTTTCTTACTTCTTTTAATGATATAAATGTCATCTTAATAATAAATCCAAGTTTATGAAAATAGAGACTAAAACTTAGCTAATACGGGCTCTTTAAATACAGGTATTCATGAAAGATCCAAAAATCTGAGCCGCTCAGAGTTAATTCTCTGAAATTCTCAAACTAGTAAAATTAAATCTGAGAAAAGATGAGAATTACAGAAATAATAAATGTGAAACTTATCAACTCCAATATATTTAATTAAAAAGATATACCGTCATTTTCCCTTCGAAAAGACGAGGTATCGTTCCTTCTACACAAGTACCTTTCATTTTGCTTTCCATGTTATCTAAAAGCTATAGAAATAATTTTTTTTTTAAAAATTGTAATTTTCTTTAATTATTAACAATTACATCAGAATCTGCCATAAAATGTTACTTTACTCACTACTCGACACAATTCTTGTACATCATGTTGCATGAAGGAATCGAGGGTTTCCCAGCTGTAAAAAATAAACAAAAAAGGAGCAATAAAATATTTTATAGAAAAAAGATACTAAATTACATAACCCAGTACTTTTAATATCTTGAAATTTTTTTTAATTTTATATCTCTTAGAAAAATTTCATTCTAATTCATAATAATTAAGAAATCTTATTTAATGCAATAAATAATCATTCACAAAAATACCCTTTCATCTTTCAGTAAATGGCAAGTTTGGCTGAGTTAAGCCAAGTATGCAAGTTTTGGTACTTACGTATTAATGCAACCGCCTTGGTATAGTTTGACAATTTTCTACACAGGAAAAGATAAAAGTTATTTATCCAGTGCAAACTGACATGACTTTTTTAAAGGCTTCTCAAACTACAAATATTTAATGTAAGTAGGCAAATATTATGAACACAACAAAAGAAAACACATTAGCCCTTTAAAATACAAATTTTAATTATTAAAGTAAGGATTTCATTACACAAAATTATTACAGAGACTATTCAAACTGATGAGAATGTTGATTTGAAAGGGGGAAGAATGTTATTGTTCTGAGATCTCGTTTAGGGTGAATAAGGCATGTAAGTCCATTCAAGGGAAAGAATGTAAACAAAATAACGTTCGCAAAAAGCAACTGAGTGGTCTTTTGTGTGGGAATAGCACCAGTCTATGCGCAATGACAAGGCCATCCAAACTATGTACAATGACCATCGTATGAAATATTTTATTTTTAGTGCACCTAAACGCCGCACCCGCTGAAAATTTAAGTTTTAAACACGTAAACACCGCGGCGTTTACTTCCGGAAATTACGGTACCTAAAGAATGATTATAAACTGGTTGGTACATTCTGAAAATTTGGCAACTTCTACTCAAGGGATTGCGATAATACATACGTACCCACATAAGTTCTATGTCATTTTATATGCCATTTGAATTTTGAGACAAATTTTTTTACTTAATATACAGGCATAAAAGTGCAAGTTGGCAAAAAAAGCTGAACAACACGTAGACACAAAATTACACAAAAACTAAATGCGCACACGCAGCCTCCCAAAAAAAAAAAAAAAAAAACATTTTAATATAAAAAGTATTAAACATATACAATTAAACTAAAATAATACTTATACTTACTATTTTGCTATTAATTTCATCTTCCACTTGTAAAAAAAAAATATCAGTAAATCACCAAGGGATTGTAATGAATTAACCTTCTTTAAGATGCTCTTTATGTAACTTAATTTAACAGTTGATACATGAATACTGTACACAACATTACAACACACTAATATACATATTTATGTTATATATTACTGCCCATTTTCAGGCAATGACAAGTTTTAGAGATAAAAATATATATAGAACTGTTACTATAGCTTTCAATTGTCTTCACTTTTAGTTCAATAAACAGTACTTTATATAACAGCAGAAAAAATAGTCATGTGAGATAATATAGTTACAACATATAGTTAAAGGAGGAATATTAAAAATAACTATTTTGTCTCAGTCTCACTCGATCCTGATTAAAAATTTTTAGGGAAAAAGCCTTTTTTTTTTTTGCTACTTCTGCAGCCAACTTTTCTAATTTCCGTTTGCGAGCTAGTCCCAATTTCTTTTCAGCAGCTTTTATACAATCCATTGATGCTTTTTTATTTTCTTCTTTATTTTCTGCAATGTTTAATTGCTTTTTTTTTTTTTTTTTTTTTTTTTTTTTTTTTTTTTTTTTAAGATTCTCGCTCTTCCTTCTTTTATCTCTAGTTCTTCTTTGTACAGTTTATGAGCATTCCTTAAATTTTTACATAGAGAAATAACATAACGATCTGCGAGAGAAATAACAATGATCTGCGCTCCGAATTGCAGTATGCCAGCTTACATACGCTAAAACTCGCACATGCTCTGGATAACATCAGTAGGGTATCCATATGTCTGACAGCACCGATCGCTGAAATTATTGAAGTCAGCTCTCGTTTGACAGTTGCTTGCTCTTTTTTGATTCGATATTCATACCCACTTACTTCCGCCATTCCACATCACATAAGCCTCACCTACTTCGCCTTGATGTGAAACAATGCATTTCGTAATCTCTGGCATGATGTAAAGTTTTCTTTACAAAGAAAAGAGGAAGAGAGAAAGCATGTCCTCCATTCACCCCCCCCCACACACACACATTTGCCGGTCACGATTTCTCAACGGTTCTGCATCAATCTCAGAAATAGCACAGGTGACATTCAGAAAAGCGGAATTCCGCGAAAACGCGGGAAAACTTTCATGCCCGTAACATAATTTCTCAGCTTGTTACATAACTGTATACAAAGATTAAGATTTGAATACTATGGAACCTCAGATCAGAAACTAATAATCTCAGCAAAAAATGCCTCAGATGACGATGCTTTCAGTTATGAATACTCAAGCTGGCAACATGATTTTCAAAGGTGTTCTGAAGCTATATCTCCCAAATAATTAGCACTCGGGAATTTCTGGAAACATTTTGATATTTACCATTGCTTAACCCTCACTAGCAAAGCCTCGCAGCATATGCAGATCTAAAATTTCAGCCTAGAAGAAATTATCATCAGATCAAGTTATTGCACATCAATTATGGTACACTGCATGTAAAAAAAAAAAAAGGGGGGGGGGACAGTACTATATCTTCCATTCTACTAGGCCGATTGACAAAATTCAAATTCTTTTTTCCTCTCTTGAAAGTGTGACTTGGGCTATATATTAGATTTATATATAGCATTGTTCTAATATAATTATTGAAAATTGAACTTTTTCTGAAATGGCATGCCAATGTTTTTCCCCATGTTTCAAATATACGACTAAAATTATACCTAAAGATTAAATTTTGTGAAATTTGGTGCGACATTTAGAGAGAAATTCAAAAATTTACCTTGCCATGCTTTGTTCAGTTTGTGCCCAGAATAATTCCCTTGGCGAACTTCTTAATATATGCCAACCTAATTTCCTTTTCCTTTTTACATTGTGCAGGAGTGGGGGAAAAAAGCCTCATCGTTCCTACTTTCAAGTAATTTTAACAAAGTGCCTAAACCACATTTAACGTTATCGCTTTCAACAAATACACCAAATTTCAAAATGCTCCAACATGTATATCTTAGGAAATTTTGAGTAAAAAGTCTAATTTTTTGCAGGAATGCTTAGAAATACATCTACTTTAAGACAGTGGTAATAATTTTATAGATTACAATTAAAAAAAAATTTCCAAAAAAACTTTAAATAATTCAAATTTAAAAAATAAATCATAAAAAATGGGCAAATTATTATTTGAACCTAAATTTCGAAATATGAAGGGAAAATCAAATAAGTTTAATAAGAGAGACTAATAAATATATACCAAATTCAATTAGCATTGAGGAGGATTTTTTAAAAAGTACTTGTGGTGCGATTTTTACAAAACTTGGCAGTGCGGCATAATTTGAGATGTAGAATCAAAATACGAAAAAAAATTGGCTTGTTACTTCAGAAACAGTCTGATTTTGTGTCAAAATACCTATTTTAGAACAATGCTATATATAAATATAATACATATCCTAAGTCGCACTTTCGAGACATGAAAAATGCAAACTGAATTTCATCAATTGGTCCAGTAGAATGGGAGATGTTGAACGAAGAAGTTAATAAAAAATCATAAAAATAAACTCAACAAAAAAGAACTAATCAATTTCAGAAGCAGCAACAAAACATGATTGCAGATGAAATACATTCCAAAGAGGAAGAAAGAAAAAAGGATCTGATTTCCTCTAATCTGTGAAATTTGGATAAAATGGGTTAACATGCAAAGTTTTCAAATAATAGTATTACCTCATAAAGAAGTAGCAATTTCCAGCATAAGCATGTTTAATAACAATGGCATGTCCCTTCTTTGGAAACATTTTAATATAAAGATTAACGACAAATCATACTGGGCAAACTTTGAAACAGAAGCTCGGTGAGTTCCAAACAGAGTTAACCATACTTACAGATAAGGAAAAGATAAACCAAGGACCTTACATGATTTTTTTATGAAAGGGATTGAATTGCCCAAACGACAGCATCTTCATCATTTTCCAATTACTCAGACCACTCTCCTTTATGCAGATACAGTAAAATTAAGTTTTTGCTTATTTTATTTGTTTAATAGTGTGCTTATCATTTTTGTTTTATATTTAATGATTTCCACTGGTTTTGGCTTATGAATTTATAAACCTTAAAAAAAAATTATATGCGGTCTAAATATAGACTAACACGTTTTACACTAATTCCTATGGATAAAATTGATTTGGTTTAAAAAGAAGCATTAGAAATGGATTAAATTAGTGAACTGAGATTTCGCTGCATAAATAACTAGAAAGGTGCCGTTTCCAACTTTGCAATGTTAGAAACAGGAAGCTTTGATTTTAATTTTGAATGATTTTAATTCACTTTAAATGAACTATTTGTAATTCAGTTCTGATGTCAAATATATTGATATTTAAGTGTATATTTAAAGTTTCATGTTCTTTGCTTCATTTCAATTTTAACATTTCTTATACTTTTACACAGAGAAAACCACAAGCAGGGGAAGAATTTAATTAAATTCAATATTTTTATTTGATTGAAAAGGCATTTAGCCCGAATTGGCTATTGATCTTGAAATGGGATTTTGTGTTGTCCACTATAATGCCTGTATCACTTTTCAAACTGTTGCCACCAGATATTATTGCCTGGTATAATTTTAAAGAAATTAAATAATGAAGAATTGAAATGCATTTATGTTTCTCACATTGTGAAAAAATGACAGTAACTAGGGCCATCAAATTTTGAATAACTTAGTCCTCCACCCACACATGTGCACCTGAAAGGCTAAATTTTAAATTTCGCATTTTTTAAAACTTTAATGAATTTCTGATTAACAAACTCAACGATCTGAAAGCAAGCTATGACAACACGGCACAAAATAAAACATTTTTATCTCTAGCATATTGGACTACATATTGGAAATTTTAAAGATATGCTGTTTTATATATTTGGTGATTTTGCTGTTGAATTTAATTTTATGTAGTGTGAAAAAAATCAGTATGCAACCACTTGAGAGATTCCTAAGGAATCAGACGTTAGTGCCATGTCCATTAGTTACATTATGCATTGTATAAACTTGATGTACAAGTTCAATCGCTGGGTGCTGCGTCAGCCGACTCAAGCAGATAAGAACAGATGTGTTTGGGCTTGCATTAATCTGCTCGAAGATTAACACAAGGATAAAAAGGATCGGATCGTAGATTTACTTCAACAATACAGGGTGAATAGAGCGCTTCTGTCTACACCCAGTGGCCCCGCTGACAGCGATGCAAAGCACAATTTGACTAAAAAAAACCATGCTTTATATCTGGTGGGATTGCCATGGTATTTTCAACAAAGAGTATCTGGAAAAAGGAAAACCCTCGACAGTAAGGTATACAGTGTGATGCTAGTCCCTATTGGTGCTGCTATCAAAGAAAAACGTCGAACTGAGTTCTGGCGCAAAAAGGTAATGTTCCATCAAGATAATGCAAGACCACATATGTCCGCATTCACCAGCTGAACTCTGTACAGACTCGAATGAGATATTTTTCCACACCCACCATACAGCTCCAACATGCTCCTTTGGAATTTTACCTTATTTCACAACTACAGCTAGATCTTGCTGGTGTTATCTTCCATTCTGCACATGACGTCTGAAATAGGGTTGATTTGTTTTTCAAAGCGTGGCTACAACGTTTCTGGGCCGAACTAAAAATACTACTATCATATTTTTTTTCTAACTTTATAAAGAATGTTTTTCAGCAGAAAACTTTAGTTACAACCAGATATTTATTGCAGGGAAACAAATACTGGCTAAAAGTTAAAAAACAAGGAATTTGGTGATCTACTAAGCCATCGGAAACAAATGGGAGAGTTGGCAGCTAGGATAGGAGAAGAGAAGTGCTTTTCTTTTGGAGTAATATTTTCACACCATAACGGAAAATATTCACATATTTGAGAAATCAGATCATATTTTAAAATATGAATTTTAAAGTTAACAATATACACTTTTTAAGGTAAAAAAAAATCACTATATATTTAAGCATACATTAAATATTTAAAAACAACACATATTACTAACCCAAAAGATTTTGTTAACTTTTTTGTTCCAACAGGTTTGTCTGAAAACTGAAGTTCGTAGAAAACTCGTTGAAGTGCCAAAGCTACACTCCGGGATGAATCATCACTTTCAGTTGGTATCTGATAAACAGCCTTTTTTAGCCAAAGATAAAAATAAATCAATATTAAAAACATATCAGACTTTCATTTTCAGTAATCTTCTCAAAAGATTATTAAAATGTTTCAAGAAGAAAGAAAAGAAAGGTGAGCAATACATAAAATATTTGTAATAAAATATTTTGAGGAAATTGGCATGCAAAGCAACATGCCAATTTCCTCAAAATTAAGGCTATAATTGTTAGCTTACATTAACATTCTCAAAAATTAATTTTTTATAAATTTCTTACATTCTCTATATTTTTCAAAAATTAAAAACTGCTCAATTACAAATATTAAACTTTTTAAATTTGATGAAAATAACATAGAAGAGAAAAGGGGAAAAACTTATTAAAAGATGAATCAACATACTTTTCTTAGTTTATTTGTGAAGAACAAAGTTTGTAATAAGGAGTTCATATAACAAGTAGCACCCTGATTCTTTAAACCGACGTAACCTGTGTGTTTCTTAGAATCCCAGCTGAAAAACACACATAAATCTTAATATTCTCATTAAGTGAATGAGTGATGTTAAAAGATTACATACATTAGTTTTGAAAAGTTAAACTCAAAATATTAAAAGCAAAGATTTCATCAAAAACAGATGTGTCTTCCATTTCTGAAATTTAAGCTCTGACGTGATTTTTTACATGACTTAAAATTTATCAAAATTAATTACAATCAAATTTTGAAAATATTAGATTTCAAGTAACACTTACAAATCTTCAGCCTACTTACAGTGTCTCCCAAAAGTTCTTTAGGTACTTAGATTATTTCATCCATCATGAAATTGTTGCCAAGCAGCGTGATTTAAAGCCAGCAATGGTAAGGCTGAAGTCAAAATACACTCATAACAACTGTGCTTTCGTTTGATGTAACTTTGATCTATTCTCGATGAGTAGCATTTTGTTTTTACAAACAAGGACATAAATTAAATTTTATTTCAGTAAATTTTCCTTTCATTATGAATATATATATTAAAATTTGGGATAGCCTTTTACAGAACAGCAAGCAGTGGTTTCTCTCGTAAGATATGAGGATCTACCATAAAAAAGGATGCATTAATGGACGTGATATTGTCAGCTGAATATGGCTGATAAAACAAAAGAATAACAGATTGGGACCTGCAGGAAGTTTGTGCTAAACAAAATCGTAGGAACTAACAAAATGGTATAAATCGACAAAAAGCCATTTTACAAAGTGCTAAGATGATGTGGGTCAAATACTTCCACAGCAATGGCTATTTGGTGTATTGTGCCGAAAAACTAATGTTTCAGTAAGTTTCAGAAAGGAACACGACTCAGAGTTCCGAAGAACAACTGTTGCAACTTTGGTGGGATCTCTACCAATTTTGATTCCACAATAACCAACTTTCATGGTCAAAGAGATAATAGCCAATTACGTAGCATATTTGGAAACTAAGTACCATTTCATTCTAGCGCCGTCACAGCGCTGTGGTAGGCGTCCCGCGCATGCGCACTAGTTTTTCTTGTTCACTGACTTTCAATTGTTGCCATTTTGGTTGCTCTATGTTGTGTTTTCAGTTTGCTATGTACATTCAAAATGTTTAAGACAATTAGTTCTCCCGCTGACTGTGAGATTCGTGCCGTGATTAAATTTTTGAACGCGAGGAATGTTAAACCGGTCGAAATTTATCGTCAAGTGACAGAAGTTTACGGTGAATACGCGATAAGTGATGGAATGGTGAGAAAGTGGGTAAGAATGTTTAATGCAGGTCGAACAAATGTCCACGACGAGGCTCGGAGTGATCGGCCTTCTGTTGTCACCGATGATTTGGTAAGGAAAGTTGATGGAGCAATTCATGAGAACAGCAGCTTCACTATGACAACTCTTTCAGAGGCATTTCCACAAATTTCACGTACTGTTTTGTTCGAAATTGTGTCTGACCGCTTGAATTATCGCAAACTGTGTTCCCGATGGGTTCCAAAAATGCTCACTGATGTTCACAAAACAAAGCAACTTGGTAGTGCCCTGACATTTCTCACGCGGTACAGTGATGAGGGAGAAAACTTTTTAAACCAAATTGTGACAGGTGATTAAACTTGGGTGTGTCATTTCACACCAGAATCGAAACAACAATCGATGGAGTGGAAACACACTCGTTCTCCGAAAAAACAAAAGTTCAAAGTGACAATGTCATCACAAAAAATCATGCGCACTGTCTTCTGGGATAGGAAAGGTGTTTTGCTTACTGAATTTCTTCCCAGAGGTGAAACCATTAATGCGGCACGATATTGTGAGACTTTAACAAAACTAAGGCGTGCCATTCAAAACAAACGAAGAGGAATGCTCAGTAAAGGAATTGTGTTGCTCCGTGACATTGCTCGGCCCCAAACTGCTGGTGTCACTCAATCGTTAATTCGACAATTTCATTGGGAGCAGTTAGATCACCCGCCATACAGCCCGGACTTGGCGCCATCCGACTATCACTTGTTCCTGCACATGAAGCGCGAGCTTGGTGGCAAGCGCTTTGGATCTGACAATGACACGAAAAATGCTGTTGAGTCGTGGTTATCGAAACTGGCGGGAAGTTTCTTTGACGATGGTATACAAAAACTGGTCACCCGCTATGACAAGTGTTTGATCATTGGCGGAAACTATATTGAAAAATAGTTTAAGACATGTAATTTAATTTAAAAATAAAATTGGATTCGAAAAAATTGTTTTACTTAAAAAAAAAAACAGTACTTAGTTTCCGAATATAAATCTCATACTTTTTTTTTTCAACACTTTAATCAGAAAATAATCTATCTCTGCTTTTCAACAGAAAAAAATAAATAAAGATTTTTATGGTACAAAAATAATGCAAGATGTCCAAAAATTATTAACTAAATTATAAATCATAATATCTTCACCAGGAATGATTTCAGAAGTTTAATCGCACTTTTGATGAATTCAAACTCCACAAGACTAATCTTAACTGCATGATTAGCCCTTTTTTCACAGTTAACAGCTGTTTCATCAAATATCTATCTTCATATCACTTTTTCTTAACACCTTAAGGATCATATAATTTTCACACAAACAGTAAGTGCCTATATTTTTATTCAAGAAAACTGTTTAAAAACAAGTGTATGAACAATGTATGTTCACTTTTAACATTTTAAAAAGGTTTTTAGCTTAATCAAGAAAATGCGTAGAATAAGAATCAGAAATTCTTCCAGGTACACTTTCAATTTTTCTGCTGCCAAAATTATTCAAAAAACTTCTTCCATTGGAGAAGTGGATTTTCTAGAGGCATTTCACATTTAAAAAAATCTTTCTGTTCTAGTCAACGATGCTAATTCCAATCCATCTTTACCGTCGGCCTTTAAAGAAATTATCTTTTAGTTCTGGTTTCATCAACAGATGGCACTACTAGCTTATTTCTGTCCAGGCTTTTTTATCTTATCATTATATACTATCTCGTTCATTTGCGCTTTTGCAGATGACGATGGTGGTTCGGTAAAACCATTAAAACTAGTCCTGTGAAAATTTGAAAATATAACGCCGATTTTTGTTGTTCGACTTCTGAATTAGTATTTGTCCGGCATGTTATTGTGTCTTAATTACTATTTTAAAGAGTTAATAAGAATTCATAAAACAGAAATCATAAAGTAAGATTTCTTTCAAGATGCTATCCACCATCAGTTCATTATGAAACAATATTTTGAGGGATGAGAATGTTTAGGTAATTTTAAAATATTTAAAATCTTCATTTTAAAAAATGAATTTATTATATTGAGGTTTTCTATAAAGCAATAACTGTAGTGCTTTGATACATCTTTTATTGAAATTCAGCATTAACATTTCAAGCCTACTTTATTCCAGAAGATAAATTATAAACTCGTTAGCAAGAACGATATATAACTGATCAGTCTCCATTTTCAATTTTAAATGAAACATACGTATGTTACTAAGGATCTATAAAGCAATAACTATTGCCTTTATAAATCTTTTGTTGAAATTCAGCATTAACATTTTAAGTCAACTTTATTCCAGAAGATAAAATATGAAACTCATTAGCAAGAATGATATAAAACTGATCTGTCTCCATTTTCAATTTTAAATGAAACGTATGTATGTAACTAAAGTTCCATAAAGCAACAACTGTAGTGCTTTCATACATATTTTGTTGAAATTCAGCATTAACATTTCAAGCCAACTTTATTCCAAAATAAAATATATTAGCAAGAATGATATAAAATTGAACTGTCTCCATTTTCAATAAAACATGTATGTGGCAATGGGAAAAAACGCAGCAATATGAAAGTTACATGTAAGCCTATTATGCATTTATCTCGAATGACACCACCACTTTACAGAAATCAAAAGTTATCTTTCATTTAATAAAAGTACTAAGTTTGAAATCCTGAACTGTCATGACTTCAGTGATTTTGGAAATTCTAAGTGAAATTCAGATTCAAACAGTGCAGCTGCACCAGGTGTCATAATTAAGAGACGACAAAAATTTTAGAATTTAGAGGAGCACCTAGCTGCAAAGATTGAAGATGGCTGAATTTTTATAATTTTAGAAGTAATGGGCAGCAGAATGTGCCGAGGAGAAAAAAGTACATAATGGCAGCCCTGCCTCATTAACAGCCACTAAAGAGCCTAAAATATCCTGACCAACATTCAAAGATGCCTCAATGGTATATTCGCTGTTCCTAGATTTTAAAAGGGGAGGCCTTTCTTATTTATTAATTTATTGGCTGGTGATACAGATATTAAAATATTCTAGTTATTGAATGTCTAGAGTTTAGACTCTGTATTCTACTTCATGTAGACCTACAGAAAGATTGTTGAGTATCTGAGCAATGAAAAATTTAATTTCTACTCCATGTCATAAGAATTAAATTTAGCAAATGTTTATTGCAAAATAATATTATTTCTTACAGAAATTTACATGCTATAAAAATTCCTTTCCTTGTCTATAATAATGCTTTACCACTGAAAAAAAGAAATGGGCAATATTTACCTCACACCATGAGGAGCATCTGCAGTAACACTAACTTCTAATATGATAGAATCATCTTTGATGTAACCTTTTTCAGGATCCAAAACTTCCTAAACAATTCAAAACAAAAAGAATGTAAATTAGGATGATATAAATTTACTTTCTATTAACACAAAGAAAATTTTTCCTTGTCGATTCCCACATACATTATTACGCCAAAAGGACTTCCCCCCCTTATGTTTTGTGTGTTACCTTTATTTATTAAATATCACGTTCTTTGCACTTTAAACCATAAAATTCAATTCAATAGCAATATCGCAAAATAATTTTTAAATGAGCATACCTAGCATTTCCCATACACAGTCTCACGCGTTGGCGATAAAACGATACGAATTATGATTTTTTGTGGAATAATAAATGGGGTTCTTTTTGTCAAGAAAAAATGTTTCACTATCATTTGAGATATTATGAAATATCTAAGGTTTGACTCAAAGTCAACTGGACTCCTCATTTAGAAAGTGACAAGTTTGCACTTTTTTCAGATATTTGAAATAAAATTATACAAAACTGTGCTATTTCCTATTAAGCAGAAAATCTAGTTGTAGATGAGCAGTTATTTCCATCCAAAATCAGGTGTAAGTTTATACAGCATATGCCAAATAAAACGGATAAATCTAATATATAATTCTGTATGCTAGTCGATGTAGACTTGAAGTTTATGTGCAATGCTTTTTCATATCTTCGAAAAGATATATAAAGAAGTGAAACTGAAAGTTTCCTGAAAATGTAGTAATGTGTCCTCTAAGCTCTCATCATTAATTCAGGTAGAAATTTGACTACGGAAAATTATTAAGACATAAAATGAAAAACAAAAGTTCTGTGGGCACAGTAAAGAAGACATCAAAAAAAGAAATTCCGCATGAAAGTAAGGAAATCACAAACTCGGCTATTTGAAGCAGTTTTGCTAAAGAATGATGAAAGTACAATGATGGTCTATCAGGGTTAAAGGAATAAAAATGCCCTACCTTATATCTGATGTGCACTGCGCAAAAAAAAAAAAGAAAAGTAAAATGACAGTTCTATACCTCCCTTTCTACTGGACAGATTGATAATATGCAACTTGCGTTTTTCATGTCTCGAAAGTGTGACTTAGGATACGCATTAGATTTATATATACAGAGTCCAACCTGCAGCAAAACGTGTCAGTAGTCAACATGCGAATGAAATTTTTACAACTTTGAAAATGCGCTTTTAACGTTCGTTGTAATTAACCATCAATTAATTAATTAATCATTAATTTTAATCAATTTTATTACATTTAAAATCCACATACGTATAAAACTGAATAATTAAAAATATCTTGTAAATTATATGCATATTTGATTAGAAATTTTCATTTAACTCCTCAAGCATGTAAATCACTAAATCTACTACTAATATTTGAGTAAAGCAAGTATTTTAAATCACTACTAATCATAGAAAAAAATCAGAATCCATATATCATATATCTTTATTCTGGATTTGATTTCCACAGGAAAATAAAATTTTAAGAAATTTATATAACCAAGAATAATACATATAAATATTAAACAAATAATTTATGAATGCAAAGATTTATACGTAGCATGCTTAGCAAGCTTAAGTTCTGATTTTAAGAATTTTTTTTAATAACACAGTTGCCTGCATATTTATTTTTTTAATCAAAACTGCTTCAAGAGTTTTAGGACCCGAATTTGGTCTAAATTCCATCTCTCTCTCCCCCCTTTTTTAAATTCTTTTGCTAGCTTCATTTGAATGAGTTATTATTAATACAGCAAGCATTATAATAGGCAATACTTTGTATTTACTACACCCATTCATATTTTTTAATTTGGCAATATCTCCCCATGCTATATCAACAATCTACAATTTCTTTCAAATCATCTACTTGAGACATGGAAAATTCAATTTCTACTTGATTATGATATTTTTCATCAATAATGGATGAAAAAGTATTCATCATGTAAAGAACAGATGAAAATGAAACTTCAGTCCTGCAGTTGAAGTCAGCAACTTCAGCATGTTTTAGAAATGGATCACTTAGTGAAAATTTATCTATTATATATGAACATGCAGTTACAAAAAAAGCTTGCACAGAATTGAAAAATGATTTCACTTCACTTTCATTCAACTTGGCATTTTTTAAATATAGTCTTGTTTCCGCACCAATCACTAAATTTTCATTTTCTTTTTGTTTACTACACTTTTGAAATGAAAGAAATGTTAGAGTAAAATCTTCTTTAGAAATTACTGATGGTTTTACAAATCTAACAAATAAATTCATTAAAAGTTCAACAAGTTCTCTTTTCAATTTATGTATATAAGGAGCTTGTTGTTGCAAATTAATATTTACTGTTATAAACAAAGGCAAAGTATTTTTAAAAAATAATAAGTACAATTTAGTGGTAGGTGATTGTAACATTTTTTTAATGTTTTGCAATCTCTTTCCTTCATTCTCACTGTTATCTGTTATCACTGTTATCCATTAGGTGTAACATGTCAGAAATGTACCCATCTGCGTTCAAATTACCGTCGATCTGAACTAGAGATGTGCATGTCATGTACCCAATGGCTGCCCAAACTATCACAAAAGTTGCAGGGCACCTATGCCGATATCGAATACAAGCAGGTGACGTGCGGTCTCCTCGGACACTCCACACAAGTATACGGCCTATCAAAATATGCACGTAGAACTGGGACTCGTTTGAAAAGGCAACATTGTGCCACTCTTGTACCCAGCTTTGACGTCTGGTGTATCAGAGTCGCCATCTCTCTGTATGCTGCATTGTCAGGGAAAGCCGAAGAAATTGTCACCCTGCTGATAGTCCACGCTGCTGCAAATGTCGACGCACCTTATAAGCTTATACTGAGCGTGCTGCAAGCATGCCCATTTCCTAAATAATGCTCCGTGATGTGGTCGTACAGTTTTGCAGGCTGACCTCACAATACGTCTGTCCTCTCTGGCGTTAGTGATGGAAGGGCGTTGAAATCCTGCATGCCGTTCAGTATGACCCTCAGCAATTCATCGATTCCATATTTGCATGACAGTGGTTGGGTGTCGAGCAGTGCGACCGGCGACATCACAGAACGATAATCTAAACTTTCGATTGGCAACAATCCTGCCTCTATTGAATTTTGGAACTTTCTGGTAAGCATTTCCTCTTCTTGTTCGAGGCATAACACGATATCATGAGCAAACTCCAACCTTACAAAGCACTTTCTAAATGAGAAATCCACTATGCAATTTTTCTTTTATGCAGTGCTACAGATGTCGTTTCTCCCTCCTGTGTCATCTATATACTCTGAAATATTAATTATTTGCATATGCCAACCTCTTCTTCCTTTCATGTGACTTTGACGTTCGTCAGATCATTCCTTCCTGGTGTTGCAATTTTAATGGCCAGCAGCGTAGATTCTAACAGCGACAACCATCTCTTATATCAGTATTTCAAAATTTTATGAGATTTTGCATTCTGTCCCAAAATTTGTTGAGCAACTTTTTTGAAAATTTGAAGCTGTACTTTTGTTTTAAACTTTTCATCAAATAAATATATATATATCTATTAACATTTTGATTTCTGAGGCAATTAATTTTTCAGTAGCCTTTTTTGCAGCTATATGCAAGACGTGGCATGGACACCTCGGATGATTATATTGGTTTATGCATTCTGATAAATTATGCTACATTTTTAAACATTCTAATCATATTACTAGCATTATCTGAAGAATGATAAGCAATTTTTATATTCTAAACCTTTGCTTTTAAAGTTTTCATTTATACATTTAAAAATACCTTATCTGGTATTATTTGTGGATTCTAAAATAGACGGTTCACAGACGATTCACTATTTCTCATTCAATTCAGTTCTTACTTCCCACCAAGACAAAAATACATAAAAACTCAAAATATCTATATTAAAAATTACGAAGTAATCTTAAACACTTATTTTCTCTAATAAATTCCAGAATGGATTAAGCATGATTTAATTCGCAGTAATAAAAGAAGGCTCTATCTTTGTTGTTGCGAAGCATAGTCTCTAGATTGGCAACAAATTTACTATACTGCTGTTTCAAACTTAAACACATATGTCTGCCATGTTATTTAAAAATTAGGCTTAAATGCACTTAAACAGCTTTTAAATTGTTGATAACTGTACAAATATTGCTTGCAGATTTACTACGGGCACAAAAACCTTAACCGGAAGAAAAGAACAACATAGCTCAATCATTTTTAAAGCAAAAAATGCACACTTTACAAACATATAAGAGTAAAGAAATTGAGATCACTGAGCCGGGTAACAGAATGGATATAAATAGATACATAGATTTATACACGTTTGGTGTGGCCGATTGCAACCAAAATACAAGGTGCACATCTACATTTTATAACAGTCCTATATACAAAATTTCCAACGTTCTGATGCTACTAGTTTTCAAGTTATGCGAAATATGTATGTACGTAGAATGCATTTTAAAGCAGTTATAATTTTTTTGGAGGAAAAGAGTCTTCTATTCTATCCTTACGTACAGATGTCACACAAAAACATCGTTAAATTGCATTCAATAGTGGTCAAAATGGATATTTTCGTTGAAATATGCTGCCTGAAAATTTTCACGATTACATTACTTCCTTTTTACTTCGTACAAGGAAATAAAAAGAAAAGAAAATTTTGCATATAAAAATTATTCGAGATCCTTAACATGCTCTTAAACATTACACTTACCTGATGAAATATATCTGGCCTAAATTTAATCATTTACTATGTCATCAAGTCTAATTACGAATAACAGCCATCTGATTTTAAACAGTATTTTTCAAAACAATCATGATTTCCCACTGTCAAAATAATACCCTATACACTCACGTAATGTCAGCCCTTTTTTGACTAAAATTACATTACTAAAATGCAGGTGCGGACATCAGATGGGTAGTTCAAATGTCACACTTTTTCTCATTAGTAATTTTGGGTGTAAAATTCATTTCAAACAGCTTAGTTTTAAATGGAAGAAAATGGCATAAGTAATAAAAGTATCAAATTTAAAGTTGTTTAATAGCTACTTAAAATTAACAAACTCACTTTCTCCCATACACATATATAATATAAATTACCCAATTTACTTTATCAACACTCTCCATGTATTAGTTTGCACAGAAGCACAATATAGAGGCACAAATTAACCAATACTTGCAATTTTAATATTTACTTTTACACAAATATGCATTGGTTCTTTTAATATTTGTTCACATTATTTTTAAAAAAGTCTGTTCTGACAAGTTTATATGAAAATTTTGGTTGTTATGTCTGCGTGTGTGAAAGTAAAATCTTTCTGCTGCAAACAGCATCATAAAAATACACAAGACGGAAGCATAGGCACTGTAGTGGAGAATCAGTGGGCGGTATTATTTCTAATTTCAAGCTACTGCAAGAAATAAATAAATAAAAAAAAAAAAAAAAGCATTGTGAATATTACTCAGTATACAAGTGCAAATAAATTAATCAGTAAACACTTTTTTATCTCACCTTTATTTCGTCCTTGCAAATCATTTCCAATTGCATCAGCACACACTAATTGTTAACACAAAGCGTACACATTAAATATTAAAATTCAGATTTTTTAAAACTTTTACAGTTAAAAACAGTTTTTAAAAACTTATGATGAACAATTTTCAACACACATGTAGTACCAGTACTTTTGTTCTTTTTCCACAAATTAGTTATCATTGTCATCTCTTTCTTCAGTCACATTTTCCTCATTTTCTTCATTCACATCATCTTTCTTGTTTTCCTCATTCATGTTATCCTTCCAAAGTTCATCTTCTGTTCCATCCAAAGTATTTGATATATTAGTTACTTTAAAACTTTTCACAATCACATCATCAGATATGCTTATCCACGCACACACTTCCGAGATGTATGCCCTTCTCGGATTTCCAGCTGCTGTGGTCCCCCTTTTCTCGAAAGTCATCCAATTACAGTAGCACTGTTTGAATGCCATTTTTAATGGATTGCATATGCAAACATCAAGTGGCTGAAGAATGGAAGCTAGACCTCCTAGAATCACAGCAAGATCAGTCTTTGAGGTTTCAAAATTTTGTTTCACTGCGTCTGCGAGATGCCCTTTTGAAACTGCCCAGCATGAGAAGAGAAAGTAGCTGCAACAGAGCTCCAGGTCATTTATACTACACACTCTGAAGCCAGTCCTGAACAAAAGTGTCATCCATCTACCCTCTTGAACTTGTATCACAATTCCTGGTAGCAGTTTTTCTTTCGGCAATGTTTTCGCTTAAAAACCACATATGGCGGAAGTTTTTTTGCCATTGGCAACAACTGCTAACATAATACATGCTCTTGGTTTTTCATATCTGCATATGCCTATTGATTTTACACCATGTTTATTTACAGTACAAGTGTCTGGAGCATAAAAATAAACTGTCTTCTGATCGGCATTCACAATTTGTGATATTAAATAATGATTTGCTTTGTGCTTCGCGATAATAAAGCGATGACAGGACATCAACTTATCTTAACATATGCAACTACTTTTTATTCTAAGTTCGGAAACTTGTGTTTCGATCCCAAAAACACACGTCTTGTTTTGTTCGCTGCCGCCAGCTGATCACGCTGTTTGCTCCAATTGCGCACACACTTTTTGTCCGCCTCATAGACCCTTGCTGCTGCTCTTTTTCCATTTTCCTGCACAAATTCTACGACTTTCAATTTAAAGGCCACAATATAGCTGTTGTATTTTCCCATTTCAAACCCGCTATTTGCTAACTACCACGAATTCCAAATGATACTATGAATGAAAACAGAAAGCTTGAAATATGCGAATGCTTGAAGGAAGAAGGAGGGGAAAGTAATTTCATTAAAAAACAGCATGTCCTGAAAGCCAGTGTGGTGAAAACCTGTTTGGACTGCCTGCATTTATTATCGCGTCTGCCATTTGGATTGCTGGCGCCGATGTTATTACTGAATAACAGCTGCACCAGAATGCAAGGAAAGTCTCTGCTTTCCATCCTGGCACCAACCAAAGACAAAACAAATGCATTTTCTTTCTTTAAAGATGTTTACTGACTAATGTTATCGACTGAAGGAAAAAGGAAATATTAAAAAAATATATTTTAAAGTAAGAAATTCTTTAGTTTATGGGGGGCGTACATTGTACAGGTCACCTTTTTTTACATAAATTCTATATATAAAGTTCAGGTGCACACATTACATGAGCACGGACATTACACAAGCATATATGGTACAAGCATATCAAAACAGGTAAAAATGTCCCAATTTTTTATTACTGATAGCAATAAGCATACTTACATTCCATGACATAAAATGGCTAAATCCCCAATCATTTTCTTTACTATAAAACAAGTGTTGAATTTCTGAAATATTGAAGAATAATTAAAATTGGCACCTATATACAACTGGATACACAAAATGTAAGAACTCTGTTATATGCAATGATATTGGTTCGTAACTAATTTATTCGGTAGAAATTATTTTATGATGCTAGAAATAAAGAATGCAAAAATCAAAAATATTGCTGCACTGAAACAAATCAGCATATTTAGTCAAAAACCGATACCAAGCAATGAAACTATTTATAACCAAGAGAAATCACGCTAATTAGAGCTGTATTATGCATATTTACAAAAATTTGGATTTATTACGAATCTAAAATAATTCAGTACTTTAAGGGGGAAATGCTTTGCAGAAAACACCAAATTTGCTATGAACACAGCTTAGTTTTTATAACTAGTAATCAAGCTTCTATTTCTGATTTCATTCACATCTAATCAAATTTGGAGCACAATTTGTACACAAATATACACATGCCATATTTCCTCATGTATTTTTCCCCTTTTTAATTTATTTTATCATCTGAAAATTAAGAGACTAAAATTATGCAAGTAATCTAATTCCTAAAAAAAGCGACGACAGTAAGAGCATAAATGAAAAACAGTCATGGATAAGCCACTGCTGTCACAACATTATTTCTTTAAAAGAAACCTACATTCCAATAAGAATACATATTAATACAAACATTACAATATTTGATGGATAATGAGCCAACATATGATGCTAACTGAGCCACATTCATTTCAGTTATCTTGTAAAGATCACAATTCTCTCGGTCACCTTAAATGAAAGTCTTGACTGCAATTCCAAAGAGGAAGGAATGGAGGGGAATAAACAAAAGATTCCAATTTCAAAAGATCAAACAGGTCAGCAGTAGATAAGGCTACAATGAGCTGGAACACAAATAACAGAAGTAAAATGAAATTCAATTTTTGGAAATTTTCTTAAATAAGAGAACACCGACCATGTTTGGGTAGCTTAATGAAAAATCTGCACAAAATACATTTCAAGTAAAAAATGAAAGAGAAAATAAATGGATAAAATGCTAATGCAAAAATGCAAATAAAAGTTGAACACACTGAATAAAAATAATCAAGTGAATATATTTTACCAATTTAGCTAGTCCTCAGACAGAAAAACTATGTACGATACAAAAAGATGATGATTGTGCTTTCCCCCCCCTCCTTAAATTCAAAACCTAGCCCTAAAAAGATACGAGCAAAACATATGAGGAAAACACTGTGTGTGCGTTTGGTGATTCCAAACTAACAGTACCAACTTTGAGGGGAGTTATAAAACAAAGATACAAATAATATTCACATAGGAAATTTAAGCCACGATCCATTTACTTAGTCATAAAGATAGGGTCACTTCAACTGAAGCAATATATTTACAAGAACTGTTCAACTTTCCGTCCACCAACATCGATACATGCTTGACAGCGTCAGTAGAGCAATGGCCTTCCCTGGCACAAAGATGCCAGGTGGTGGTGGTGGTGGTTGAGTTAATGGCGCATAACCAGAAAGGTTATGTGCACCAAACACATGGTGGTTTATAAAAAGACAGATAAACTTTATAAAATAACAATTAGCTAAGTCATAAAATCTACATGAAATAATAAAATGGTGAACATTAAAAGGAGTAGGTATTAAAACTCAGCAAATGATATGTAACAAGAGATGAAACACATTAAAATTACTTAAATTAAATAACAGAAACCTGTTTCTTTTAGGTATAGAAATAAATTATTATTGGCCTCTTTCCCGATTAAACAGTCATAAGGGAAGTCACACTCGTTAAAATGCTTTAGTCTTAGTCTATAATTCGGACACTCTATTAAAAAACGACGGACAGATAAAATGCTATCACAGTAGGGACAAATTGGCTCACTCTCTGCTTTGAGAAGATAACTGTGCGTGATTCTGGAGTGGCCAGAATCACGCACAATTATCGAATACGAGTCAAAAGTACTTCTTCCCTTCGGTTTAGAGTACTTTCCCAAAATTGCACTCTAGGCTTCACATTTCTTAGCTTATTATTTAATTGTGCATCCCACATTTCTTTCCATTTTTCTAAAATTTTCTGCTTGATGGTTTGGCTGATATCTCTGAGAGGAATGAGTGGTTTAGATTCCTCGACAGCAGCTTTGGGCTGTGATACCTGCCAACTCATTACCTTTTATTCCTACGTGTCTAGGAATCCAGCAGTAAAGAATTTCGAATCCACGATTACTTAGGATTTTATTAAACTTTAAAATTTCAACTATTTCTGCGGATTCTGTGTGTCAGAGAATGTTTCTAAAGCCTTCAGAGCACTGAATGAGTCAGAATAGATAATAAACCTTCTTCGGCAACACCTAGATATAGATAAAAGGGCATAATAAATATCAGTCAGTTCAGATGTCAGGACTGAACAATTAAGATTAAGTTGTCTTCCCACCATATGATTTTCAATTACGAAAGACATTCCAACATGACCGATTGCTTTCGATTCATCTGTATATACAGGTATATAATTAATGTAAATTTGTCTATGTTCTGAGAAAAGTTGTTGGTATATGATCTCATTAGTACTTTTTTAACCAGATGGACGAAAATATCAAGAAAGCAAATTTGTACATTTTCCCAAGGTGGTATTTCAAAATGCTTTACTAGCTGGATGTTTAAGTCAGGCATGGAATATTTCTCAATTAATGAATGAACTTGTAAAGAGAAGGTAGGAATACAGGAGGGTTGTGCTTCAAATAAGAGGTCACTGTCATCAAGCAGAATTTTACAGATTGGTTCAGTTGTGATAAGATAGTGAAATAATAATGAAGAGACAAATGCTCGCGTCTTAGCTGGAGTGGTGGTTCATAACAGTCAACATTAAGGCTTTGAACTGGAGATGTTCTGAAGGCTCCAGAACATATCTGCAAGGCCTGGTGGTGTACAGGATCTAGCTTCAGTAAAGTAGAACACCGTGCCAAGCCATAGTCCAGTCTACAGCGTACAAGAGCTCTATAAATGCGAAGCATTGATTCCCGCTCGGCGCCCCAGGAGGTGTTCGCCAAGACTTTTAAAATACTCAGTGTTTTGAAAGACTTCTTCCTCAAGTAAAGGACATGGGAAATAAAGGTCAACTTTCGGTCAAACATCACTCCTAAACACTTCGACTTCTGGTACGACAGGAATCAAAGAATCTTGAAAGTGAAGCTCCGGCTCGGGATGCATATTTCGCTTTCAGCAAAAGTGCATGCAGACAGTCTTTTGCTTTGAAAAGATATACCCGCGTTTTTCTGACAATTTCTCAATTCTGTTAAGAGCAATCTGTAACTGTCTCTCGACAATTCTCATATCTGCACCACGTCAACTTATTTGGAAGTCATCCATATATAATGACCCTGACACAGTAGGGGGAGTTCCTTTAAAATAGTATTTATTTTTAAACTAAATAAAGTAACACTTAAAACGCAGCCTTGAGGCACACCCTCTTGTTCAAATACATCTGAGAAAACAGAGCCAATTCTCACCTGAAATGTCCTAGCGCTAAAAAATGCAAGCCACAAGCAAAGATGCCAGGTATTTCATACATAAGATCGATACATGCTTGACAGCGTCAGTGGAGCGACTGGCCTATACTGGCACAAAGATGCCAGGTATTTCATACATATGTGTAGCAGATAGTAATATTCAAGTAACGAGATCTTAAGCTCGCTAGTCTCGGAGTCGCATAAACGAGACTCTCCAGATGTCTCCAGAAATAGTAATCGAGGCTTGATAAATCGGGAGATTGGAATGGCCAAGAGACTGGTCCAAAATCGCCAATCCATTGTGTCCCAAAAGTGTCATTCAGGTAACTGTAAACATCAGTGCTGAAGTAGGATGGTGCCCCATTATGCTAGAGTCACATTCAGTTAAAAATAGTGCTGTAGAAGTAACGAGAAATTGTGTACCCGTATGTATTCGTTACTCGGTGAACCAGTACTCGTTACTATCGTATCGTTACTCGGTAAAATCGATCGGTTTACTTTCGGTAAAAATCGATCGGTTATCCGTATCCTGAGCCTATTTTATCGGTCTACGGCCCTAAAAAGAGCTTTGAAACCTCGCATTGCATTGAATCACATGAGCTATTCTACGCCGCGGGAACTGGGTAGTGCTGCGATAAGGAGTTTTGCGTCGCATTTTTGGGGTAGAAATAATTCACTTTATTTTGGCTATTATTTTTTGGTGCACTGGATTCATTATTAATTTTTCTATTGCTGTCAGGGCTTAGTTTCTAAAGTCAGAAATGCCTACGGAAGGCCGTCAGGAAAACAGGAAAAAATAAAATAAAAAATAAAGAAAGAAAGGAAATAAATATTACAATAATAACATTAATTAGTAATTAAAATAACAAAAAAATTACTTATTAAAAAACTTAATAATTAAAATAATAAAAAATAGTGATTAAAATAATGAATAATTAAAGTAACATAATAATTAGCAACTGAAATATAAAATACTTATAAGTACAATTTAATAAAAATGTAAAAACAAATAAAAATTAAAATAATTTTTAAATTTATGATGACTAATTAAATAATAAAGTAAAATACCAGATCTTGTCTTATTGGCTTAGTATCGTTTCGTCCTTTCTCATTTCATCCCCAGCTCGAAAAAGTGTTATTTCGTTCGCTGCCTTCCCCCACCAATTCCCTCTTTCCCGTTTCATCCGCAGTTTGAAAAATAGGTGTTTACTTTACGATAAGGCGAACGTCTGTTTACTTCAATTAAAATGGTTTAGAAGAGATGACTGTTTTTACTTCGACTTAGCTTTTGATTTTTTAATATTATTTAATATTTTATGCAGACAAATTATGTTGAGCAGAATAATGAATTTCAGACGTGTTCAAAAGGTGTGTATCTGAATATAATAACATTTTTGTTGTATAGTATGCATTTTTTTAATATCACACATTTCTAAAGCAACAGAAGTACGTTATCACTATTTTGGCACACACATCAAAAACATGTATAATTAAGATTAATGTTACATTCCT